GTCTTTATTTTGGTTTCTTTCATAAGTATTGTTATTCTTTTCTTAGTTGTCGCCTTCTCCCAAATTAACTTATGCCAAACCAGTAGCATGCAAGAAAGCCAGTAAAAACAAATTCGTCTTGTCGAGCGCTCGCGACCTGCAAACTTCAAACATCATTTTCACCGTTGGTGCAAACAGATAACCGTGTGGTGCAAAAGTTTGAGAATAGAAAAATATATAAGCTTTCGAATGAAGTGATTTTTTTGGCCCCCTTTTTTGTCTGTTTCGCCCTTTTTGCTTTTAAACTTGGCGCGACGGCAAAGTTATGCTTACGCTATTGGTTTATATACTAGACCGGAAATAAAAAGCTGACTGGATATTAAATTTTGTGCTCATGCGCATTGCGTTTTGCCGCGGTGTTCAACCAATCAGAAGCTTTCCCCAACATTCCGGGGGAAGCGGCAACAACAACAAAAAACAACAACAACAAATTTTATTGACAATTGGAAAATAACTAATTACATTACTTTCCCACCCGCAAAAAGCTTATAAACTAATCGAGGCGGGGGGAGCTGAAGACATATTACAAAACAAGATTTATATATAGATGGATTAAATAACAGTGAAGACACTACTATACAGTAAATAGAATTTAAACTAACATAAAACAATACAAGTAGATAACGATTACGAAGAGAGGCTATCCTAAAGTATTAAATAACTTAATAAGACGGGAGACTTCGACATAATCATCTTCTGACCGCAAGAAATTTAGTAATAATTCCTTTATTTTTTTACGAGAAAAAAACAAAAAAATAATAATTTATGCAAATGTACACCGGAACACGATTAACTACGGCGATTCACAGACGTCTCTTCTCCCGATTAACGACGGCGATTCACAGACGTCTCCTCTCCCGATTTTTTCTGGGGGGGAGGGGACATCTGTACACAGGCTATCATCCTTATAATGAAACAAAATAGAAACTGAGTAAGAGTTTCAGTTCATGGCAATTTCAACCATAAGAGCTATTTTCGACAGTTTGTAAAATGTCTGCTTATATTCAGTTCGAATCTGACGTTTGCCTAGTTGAGACTATTTGGAAGGTTATTTTTAAGGTCTCTCTTATTCTTTAAGTTAATGTTTAATTTGTTTCATTGGAGTACGTCTAGTCGCCTAATGTGAGGGAATCGGGATTCCGGAATGCAGGAAATTTTTGCTTGCGGAATCCGGAATCCCACTAACGATTGGAATCCAGAAATCAAGGTCCAATGACAAAAAATCTGGAATCCAGTACCTGGAATCCGGAATCCATAGCGTGGAATCCAGAAACCAAAACTGTCTTAGATTTCCTTACATGACTTATTAGCTCATGACTGGAATCCGGAATCCAAGTTCCCATGACAAAAAATCAGGAATCCGAATCCAGCACCTGGATTCCAGAATCCATTGCGTGGAATCCAGAAACCAAAACTGTCTTCGATTTCCTAACATGACTTATATAGGGTGAGTCTAGGTTAGTCAGGATTTTGTCCTCAGTTTCATGGTTGTTTTCCCTTTGCTTTAAACTCGTGTTTATGCCGTGGCTCGCGAATTTACTTCCCATATCGCGGTCGAGTTCTCTCAAAACGAGACGACGATTTTAATCTTGCAAAATGTACAGTTTGAGTTTCGACAGGTTTTACGTCAGTATTGGTTGTTATGAGGACATTTACTGTCGCTACAGCATGCAGAAAAGAAGCAATGATCACTTCCACTCATAATTTGAGGTTACCGACTGGCCCAGAAGGACTGGTGACAAACCCGTGTGACACTTGCGTCAAATAGAAGAACTATGGGATTGAGGATGCTTCCTGTCAATTGATCGATATGTGGATATTAAAAGATGGATATTTTGGATCTCTTAGATCTTCTGAACACGCTGAGAGGACAGAGTACTAGCTCTGCGTCTGCAGTCTCAGCAAGGAAGACAAGGCAAATCGGAGATCACCCACTTCTTGTAACATTATTGGAAGGCCGGAGAAATCTGCGAAGAACAACGAAAAACAGCAACTGAGGTGACAAGGAATTAAAGAATCAACAAGAACGCTCTTAAAAGCGCATGTCTCGCTAGCTTGCTTGGAGATTAGATAAGAAAAGTTTTTCACTTCCTACTTTATCAACAGTCGAGTATTCTTCAGGTTATTTACTTTTTATATCGTATTCAACGACTTGTTCCTGAATTGATTAAGTACGTGTGTGTAAATACATGAAAATCAAGGGACTCGATTCGAGAGAAATTACATCATTGCCAAAGAGCAGAAACGCGTGATGAACATGGCGCGTCATTTCAATCATCGCCGAAAATAAACCACATGCTCGTCACAAGACTCATTTGCATACAATGAAAGTTTACAACAGCCGACCAGTTAGCCTCACCTTCGAAGTTTTGCATTAAGATTCTCCTTTTTTCGACCATTGAGAAGTGTTTTTGTTCCAGAGTAATCAACGCTTTAGAGTGATAGAATTCGTGGACCGACCAGTTCCAGAAAAGCTCGACATCGAAAGCGAAACGCTTGCGTATTTTAAGAGTCTCGCGGCTAAAGCAAGCTAGACTAATTTAAATTTTTCAGGGTTTGTTTTTTTTCTGTCCCATTATAAATTAGTTTTTAGCCTGCGTCGAAGACGTAATTTAACCTCCATTGACGAGAGTTTAGTTTCGTCTGTGACGCACGCTAATCATTTTGAAGAACAAAAAGATGGGAAGAAAGAGTTGACAGACATAATGATGAGTATCATGGGAGAAGGAAAACTCTCTCTCCCCGGTGGGTTCCGTGCTAGCAAGGGAGGGGTAGCATGTGTTTAAAGAAAGGGGCTCGGAGAAGAGAAGCAAAGAGAGCCACAATGGTAGAAGCGACGATATTTCTTTGTGGGGAAGGAGAAAGGGGTGCTAATTAGACTTCTTCCTATCGCCTTATCAGCACCTAGTGACTGATGCAAAGAATAACTCAACGTGTCCGTTACAAGGCAATCTACTTGTAGCTTGGGGTATAGCGTAGAAACAATACTGACGAGGCAACTGCCGCAGCAATCATCCGCCACCATAGACTGAGTTTTAAAAATGCCAAATTCTCAGTACCATTTATACCTTGATAAAATTGACTGCCATAGCTTACCTTGTTGAATGGCAGACGGCAAGCTATGCGGCAAAGGAACGTCGTGATACACAGCAAAGCAACACATCGCGGGACAGAAGAACTTCTTGTGTTCGTTGGCGTCGTAGCATGTTCTCGCTGATACTGAATCTAAAATTAGCAAAACAACCATTCCGTCAGTTAAACCACAAATAACCACTCGAATCAGAGCTGCAAATAAAAGTCGGTCAACGGACGATGTCTAAAATTGCCCGTGTCCCAAGAAATCCTACTTACGGTCAGATCTGATGACCGGACAGATCAAATACTCAATCATTGAGACTGTCATTTTGTAGCTGAAAATTTGCACAGTAAATGTAATTAAAGGCATCAGAAGTCAACATAATCTATGCCCGACAACTTTTCAAGTTTGTCTAACTAAAATAGTGACCACATCAGATATGTCTTCTTTCTACAAAGAAAAATTATTTTCAGGCCTGCTCGAATGTCCTTTGTTTCGAGCAGAGGGCGTCCTATCTTTTTGTTAAGAAAGTTTACTAAAAAAATAATAATTAATGTGCGACAGCGGAAGTGAGTATTTTTTCTACACTAATGAAACTGCTCTTTTGATGATCCAACGAATAAGTGCTCATGAGAAATGAGAAGTACTTCAGCACGTATTAAACTCTATCCACCCCAAAAAACTGTCTAGCGTTATTAAACTGTTTAACAAGGTTGCAAGACTTTCTTTATTGTAATCAAATGCCCACATAAAATATCACTCTACTAATTCGAAAATAGAGTAGATTCAAACTTACTTTTCTTCATGAGGCGATCAATTGCATCCTCCAAATGAAATTTGTACTCGGTGATTAAATCCGCGTTAACGAGTGGCTGTTGGGAAGAAATTCGGGACATTTTCAACGTGACGAATGTATTTTCTGGTGTACAGGACAGGGTAAGTTTTATGTTCAAATAGGCCATTTCCGAGTTCCCCCGGGCCTATGTTTCAAAACAAGGGTAGGTGCTCAGCCATTGATATGGAAATCATTTTTCATTCTCTTGCAAATAAAACTCATTTTCACAAGAAGGGTTGTGCACCTAGCCTCATTTCGAAAGTGAGGGTTTTTGGAACTCGGAAGTGGCCTATTCATTTGGTACGCGCCAGGAATTACTTTGAACAGCGGTGACAATCACCTGACGGACGACAACAAGGCGATGGCGCTTAGTAGAGAGTTGAGGAAAAGTTGAAACCACTGTCAAGTCTGAATATGTGACAAGTTGTCAAATAACAATCTGATCCCTCAGTTTATGAGAAAATTCATTTGTCATATAATACTCGAGAACATCCTTAAATTTTACAATCAGTTTAAGATTAGGGGAAACTGTTCATTCCCAGTACCCCTCTCCTAACCCAAACATTTTTCGCTAAGGGCCTGTTTACATGGATGTGGGGGAACCCAGATAGGTGAGGTAACATGTCGCGGGTCACGCCACCTATCATATAAAAGTGATCAAATCAAAATGAGAGATTATATGGACAGGCGGGTTACCCCACCTATCATGTAAACATGATTAAATTAAAATGAGAGATTATATGGACAGGCAGGTTACCTCACCGACCTGGGATCCCCCACCTCCACGTAAACAGGCCCTAAAGGCGCTTTCCATTTTGTCAGAACTGACCGGCCAGACCGTTCCCGTCGTAATTAGAATTTCACTTTTCGTGAAAACTATCCAGCCAGATCAGTCAAATCCTAAATAGTATGCACGAAGTAGGTGTTTTTTTTCAAAGTAGAAACCCATTGGAAAAAGTGGATTTCATTTGGTAACTGACCGGTAAGGCCGGCCGGTTATGACAAATGGAAAGCGTCCACGTGAGAAGTTACTTCCAGGTCTTCCTTCCTTTTAAAATGGATACAAAAAGTCTCCAACAATCGTAGAATATCACATTTGGCTCGCGATTCACAAAAAATGAATGTTTTTAGTGAATCTACTTTACTTTCAATTTTAATTGAGTTTCCCAATAAGATATGAAAAATTAACGATATCTAACTAACCTTTCTTTGTAAGTTTCCGCAGATCTTTGGAAATGCATGTTTATAAAATGTTATAACCAGCTTCATTTGCCACACCAAGCTCGGCTCAGGTTTAAAATCCAAACTGTAAGTGATCTACAAGAGTGACAAACGGTAGATTGCAAAATATACGCTGCATAAAGGGCAATTTTCTTGGTGTTGCGAATTGTGATTGACGTGATGGAAAAGCTATAAAGGATACTATTACTATTCTCGCACAACAAAAGTCTTAAAAATTATTTCTCGCAACACTAAGAAAAACGGCCCCGGTGCTAAGTGGGACGTACTGTCTAACGAAAGAAAGTTGATTGTATTGACATTAGAGCTCTTGAATATTTTTTTCCGAAGCCTGAGTAGTCTTAAGTATTGCTTATTACAAAAGGATGACTCTATGTAAAAGTAAACAACATTTATTTTGACTTGCGATTGCCTCGTGAGTCTGGTTCCCGATGTGTAGTGTCTGGTATAGGCTCTTATTTTTGCTTAGGGTGTGCAATGAGAGGAGGCGGAATTCATTACCCTGCGAACAAGTTCTCTAACTCTCCCTTTCTTTTCTCTTTACATTTGGCTCGGAGGATAGGGGCGAGGGACAAACAAAAAGCAAAAAAAAAAAAGAACAAGGAAGTCTCTCTCCCCTATCCGCGTTCTTTTCCTCTATACTTGTTCTCCCATTAGAGCCCAGAGATCACCAAAAGAACTTGCGGGCAAGGCTGTTTTGGGGGACGAATTTTGCCCCAGTTTCCTGTGCAAACTTGTAATTATCAATAAAGAAGCGATAGCGTCCTCAAAATAGTCCAGGAATCGTCCCGGGGTACAATTCGACAACACACGGACCCAGTCCCACGCGAAACCACAAAATGGTCACTAGGCTGCCTCCACCGTCCCTTGGAAGTCGCAATAGTAGCTTAAGCAACAACAACGGCGACTGCATCGAAAACGTCACTTAAAAAGTAAATTTGCGCTGCCTCAAACTTACTTGCGCTTATTCCATCTCGTTTAATTGGTCAAATCTTGGCAAATTTTCTTTGGAGTTGAATTCTAAAGGACTGTATCAAAATTCAGGAAAAGAAAACGAAAGTTGTTGTCTTGTGTTCCCGTCCTCGACAAAACGTGAAATTCGGCAATTACACGTTGTAATCGTGCAACGACGGCTAAGAAATGTACAAAAAAACGCAATGAACTTCCAAAGTTGTTGTTTTGCTTATCTAAACCTATTGCTTTTTTGCAACTCTCGTCGCCGTCGCCGTCGTCGTTGCTAAAGCTCCTTAATGACCAACAGATTACATTACCTGCCACATGCGCAAAAGCGCTTTGAGCACGTCTGGCTTCTCCTCCGTGACGCTTTCCACCAGGGCAGACTCTATAAATGAACTTAATCTTTTTTCCTTGAGAGTAGAATAAAAAGAAAAATTCAATATACCTCACAAAAGGCGTTGGCATGGACATAATAAAGAGATTAAATTGCGCCTGTTTAAGACCCAATTTCATAGACTGCTACATTGTCACAGATATCAACTTTTATAAGGGAGCATTTCTAATAGACTGTAGTTAAATTTTCCCTGTCTAAAATTCCTTCTAACTTCTCCGTGTATATAGTAATTACAGAAAGCATTAAATATTCATCCTCTCCAAAATCGCATATCTTTTCGTCCTATCTCTACTGATAACGCGATTAAAATACTACCACTTTGCCGTGGCTTCTACTGAGGTACTTACTCTGTCACTTGAGATGTGTTTATTATCGAATAACTCGGCTAATGCGATAAGGTTTGGATCCGACGAAAAACTTCGCACAACATCTATCTAAAAGTCAGACAAACAAACAAACAAACAAATCTTTAACGGATGCTGGGGGAGATATTTCTCAAAGAAGTCGTTACGATACCAAGTTTAGCTCTGGGAACTCTGCGAGATGTGTAGTGAAACACTTATGATTTTCCAACAACCTCTCGTTTTTTGAGACTTCTTACCTGTTCCGTTTGGGAGGAAAAGGTTTTTGCGAGGATGTTTCTGTGTCCCTGTTGAACAACAAAGGAAAATTAAGTCAAAAGGGACGTTTACAAAAGTCCTGAACTAAGCAAAAAATCAAGCGTCTATTGTCAGGCGTTAGGAAGAACGTGACCAATGTGAATCGCAGAAATTCCGGGAAAACACCGAGTCAACGTGAAGCGCGGGAAAACACAAACTCAGCGTGAAACGCGAGAAAACACTGAGTGAGCGTGAACCGCGGGAAAACATTTAACGTACAAGATTATTCTCTGAGCTATGATTGGCTCATCGTTTTCCTTACCGGTACAGCAGTGATTTCGTTTATCAGAATGAACCACAGGAAAACACTAATTCAGCGTGAAGCGCGGACAACCATTCAACGTACATGACTATTCTTTGAGCTATGAGTGGCTCACCGTATTATCTCTGTTTTTACCTTTTTGTCAATAGTCAAACTGTGGTGATTAAAAACCTTTTCTTTTCACCTTATTTTGTTTAATCAGACTGACAAACAGACATCATTTGTCTTATGACCACCAACCTTACTGGCTATCCGGATCGTCAGCGTATTAATTCCTAAAACCTGTTTTGCCTTCTTTTCCAAATCGAATAACGTTTTAAATCCCATTTTTGGTTGGTTTCAAATGAGATGTAAAAGGTTTCGGCTTTTTACTGGTACTGACTAATAAGTGGATGCAAAATTTTATTTGTCAAATTGTATTTCAAGTCTGAGCTGGCACTTTTGAAATCACGCGTATGATTTCAGACCAATATTCAATTACAAAAAGTCTGAGCACTTATGCAAAAGACATTGCCAAACACTTTCTTCGTGAGAAAGTTCCTGTCTATTTTCATTGTATACGGAAGATTAGAAACAAACCTGCTTTATTTTTAATAATCGTTAATGTTTTCATTTAGCATGAAGTACTAATTAAGGACACTGCTATTTTTGCATCCCCTGATGATAAAGACCCGCCATTTCTACGTGATGATCCATGCTACGCGTACGCGTTAGTCTAGCCGTTCATTGCATGACAAGGGCAGTAACTTTCTCCTCAGAAATGTTACAGCCTTCAACAAACTTTGCTAACGACTGATTATGTTTAATTAAATAAGGTAAAAAAATGAAAAACAAAAAAAGAGAACTGACTGTCGGGTTTTAACACACGATTCAAGTGATCCTTAACGTGTGGTTCTATTTGCGCTTTATTCGAAGTCGGCAAAAATCAGTTAGCAGCTTTTAAAAAGAACAGACTTTTAAATGGTGTTCAAGTAAACTGTTTAAAACATGTTTAACTTCAGGTGTACGCTACAAGGAGGAAAAATAGTCTACCTTACCATGTACTACCTTTGTCTTCTGTAAAATCTATTGTAACAGGCCAGTAGCGGACACTAGCGACACGAACCTACGATAGAAAACCAAGGTCATTCTACAAATTTCAGTTGAGTTTTCCAGGAGTCTTCCGACTATTTGTTGGATAAGTTGGCTAGTTATTGCTCGCCACACCCGGGCCACAAGCTAGCGAGGGACGAAGGCGAGGAAAAATCTAACGCATAAGGGCAAATCGACTTAGTGCGCTTTCCATTTGCTAGAACCGACCGGCCAGACCATTCCTGTCGCAATGAAAATTTCCCTTTTAATCAAAACTCTCCAGCCAGATCGGTCAAATCCTAAATAGTATGCACGAAGGAAAAAGCCTATTTCATTTTCAAACTGACTGGTCGGGCAATGGTCCGGTCAGCCAGTTCCAACAAATGGAAAGCGCCCTTAGAATCCTACAATACAATAATTAATTCTTGCCAATTCACTTGCCTTTTTTATAAGCTGAAGTTCGGGAAGAATGCAAGGCGCCGTCATTTTTAAACTGGCCTCGGGGTAAAACTGGGTCTCCTGCAAGAGAAACGAAATATACTCTCGACCTTTGTAAACCAGCAATTGAAAACAATCAGCAAAACAACAATACCAATCTTGCTCCCAGAAGTCGCGTTACACTTGTCTAGCGGACGGGAAAAGGGAACCTGTTGCCCCTCCGCTGGACAAGGGTAACGCGGGTTCTGGCAAAAAGTCAACAACAATACAATTGAAAAAGGCTTCCTCTACGCACACACAAAAAAAGCTGATTGCCAACCTTAAGGGTGACCTCAAGAGGAACGTAGCAGGCCTTCTTTGTGTCAACTTCACGCGGTACAAGGACTCGAGGCTCTGCAGCCAAGACGTACAAATGTCGAAATGCTTGAAGATGGTATCTAAAGAAATAACATGTGATCAATGAAGCTCTGTAAGACCTATATTTCTCACCGTCAAGGGCAGAATCGCGGATAAGCCAAATTTTTCAGATGACTGCAACGATTATAAGTAACAGTCATACAACCAGCTGTAAGTTTTACCCGCAAACCCTTAGGGTGCTGGAAAATGCGCGTGAAATTATTTCCCATTTTGACTTAACAATTTGTTTACACATATATATGATGTTATATGACTGGAATTTCATCTCTAACAGCGCACGGTCTCATTGGTTACTCTGAGGTCACATGGCATCGCTGAACAAAACTGTTTCCCGCCAAAAGTTTATGTGTGGGCAACAATGAATATTCTCTGACGTCAGAGGGTAACCAGAAGTGGTAACAGTTCACCGTTTAATACGCACGAATATTGACCGGTCGCTGAGAATTAATTTCGTAAATTTGTACATAAAGAAGTTTTTCTTCATAGGAAATATAAGTAATAACAGCACACTTAAGAGAACTAGTTAATTTTCATTCCTTCAGGACCAGGCATCAGTTGTTATTTCGTAAATTGCCTGTGGTTAATTGTTACCTGTTATCAGTGCTCGAGATTGGAAATCTTGGATAAAATGCACAAACTAATGCAGCAATTGCCGGTCCAACGGTACTGAGGGTGAACCTAGACAAAAAATCCAAGAAAGAATAAAAATGAAACGAAGTGCCGCTTTCCACTGAGAGCACAACTTTTCTCCATACAAACGGGGCCGAAATACGGTGGTGTATGAGTATCGCGCGTAAGCTCAAGGAGTGGAAGCACACGAAAACCTTTCGGACTTTACCCATTAAAAAAATGTAAGTTCATCGCAGCAAAGGGAGCCCAGACTCAATAACCCACTGGAAGCCAAATTAACTGTATGGATTTGTATGAGAATTTATCTTAAGATCGATGAAACGGTTAAAATGCATACAGCAGCCATTAAAGTGTACATACTTGTTGTTTTTTACTGTTTCCGGCCTATAAACGCCATTTTAGGAAAGTTTTGATGTTTTGTCTTCGCACCTACTAAGAAGAAGACAAGGGAAAACTCGGCTGTCCTATGCTGCCCGAAGAAAAAGCTCCAAAACTTAGCTTCAGTCCACTCCAATCGCTCCGAAACTTCGCTTGAGCACAGACCGAAGATTCTCCTTCCTTGAAAACGTCAATTTAGTTCCAGATGTTGGGCCATGGCCTCAAAAGGACGAGAAATGTGACAAAAAAATTTAACTTGGCGCTTCCGTGGAAACGCTCTTCTCCGGAGTGTACTACTGATGGCTGTTGCTCGGCTCTTGGCTTAGCTGCAACGCCGCGCGTTCAAAATCCCCCAACAGGAAGGGACAGGGAAAAAATATACCAATACAAACCTAATTCACAGGGGTACCCAGAGAACTCTTTCGTTTTACAAAGGAAGGGCGGGAAAAACACGGGTCCCTGTTTAGAGGGCCAGAAACAGTAAGAAAACAGCACAGTGACGTCTCTTTACGAGGTATGTACACCTGAATGGCTGTTTAATTGCATTTAAACCCTTTTATCGACCTTACGATAAATTCCAATACAAAGCCATATAATTCGGCGTCGAGTAGGTTGTGAGTCTGGGCTCCGTTTCATTGCAGTTATAGAAGCAACTTTTGCAATTGCGAAAAGAAAGCCTGAAAAAAAAAATCAGGCTTGTGCGCGAAACGAACCCATGGCCTCCGCGATACCGGTTCAGCGCTCTAACCAATACGGATGATGGTACCCGCCAAACACTCGCGAAAGAAAAAAGTTTCCACACCTTCCACCTCCAAGGAACAGAAGACCAACAGCCATGTGAACAGCCATATGGCTTCCATATGGAACATCCGGGGAATGTCTCTTACGCAGCTGTCGAGCAATCCTGAGTACATCAAGGTTCCCAGTTCCCGCCATTACCTAACAACAGACAGCGGAATTTTATTTCCTATACAGTGGAAGCCCTCTTGAGGGTTGATATCCAGTGTCGCGTTATTTTTACGTGCGTACGTGCGTAAAATTTACGTTCGCAAATGAAGTAGAGGCAATTCATGAAAGGTCGTTCGAAAAGTGTAAAAGTTGAACCGCGCTCAAGTTCTCGTTAAAGCTCAGCCCTTTTTTCTTTCCTCTATTCTATTTACGTGATTAAAACCTACGTGCGTTAACGTGCGTAGCCACAAACGAGTCAGTCGAAATCAACCCTAACGGACACTCTCGTAAGCGGACAGCTCTACCTACGGCCACCTTCACAAAACCTCGTTTTACTCAATCTCCATTTCAGCATACAAACTCTGTATTTGTACATTTTCGTAAGCGGACAGCTCCAGTTACGGACACCTTTTTCGCCTTCTGAGAGTTTCCGCTTACGAGAGCTTTCAATGTATGCGTTTCTCCCTTGAATAATTAGAAAAGCAAAACGGCATTTCATATAACAGGCTAAAACAAGGTACAAGACCGAGCAGGGCTCGGAAAAAATGAAGTCTAGCTTGTCCTTTGGGCAAGCAGCTCTCACACTTTGCTTGCCCGAAGCCACTTCTTGCCCGTCTTTGTTAATGATTTTATTAGAGAATGATGTAATATCCACTACGCACACACCGCCATGATAGTTGGAACCGTCTTTAATGATAAACATCACGTGATATAGGTACAGAATGCGTGCAAAGTTACGCAGGATACCACAGATGACTTGCCTGGACACTTAAAGCTTAGTTGTCCAGCAAGAAAAATTCGATGAACGGATAACCAGTATATACATTCATACGTTATAGTCATAATTTTTGAATATCGATGAATGAAAGGTATTATATCAAATAATGTAAAACCTTCTTTATAAGAAAAAGAGGAAGGAATTCATATCATGGAAGTCAAATTTAACTGACTGTTCCAGACCAGTCATACAGCTTAGATTTGGCTTGTTAAGTCATATAAATTGCGAAATTCGTCCAGGATGATTATCACTCCAATACATTGTCAAGAAACTTTCTTTGGACAAAATAGGCCGGGGTAGATTTCAGTGTCTGAAGTAAGAAGTAACAATCTCCGCACCGAAGGTTTTTATCTTCACTACAGTCAAATCGCTTTAATACGGACACCAAAGGGACAGAACCAAGTGTCCGCTTTACAGAGGTGTCCGTATTATAGAGGTAGGGAATGTATGATTTTTGGCATTCTGGGACCAAACGAACGGTCCGCAATAGAGAGGTGTCCATATTATAGAGGTAGGGAATGTAGCATTTATGGTATTTCTGGGACCAAACGAACTGTCCGCAATAGAGAGGTGTCCGTTAGGCGAGGTTAGACTGTATTCAAACAACCAAGTTATTTTGTAGTCGGTCGCAAAGCGTTTTCACCGAAAAGAAGCTCATTATTTTGATAAAAATGAAAAGCTTGTCACATTGACTAGCGGAGGTATTTACTCTTGTCCTTGTTGCACTTTTTCGATAAACTCTCGATAAATGGAAAAAAAAAAAGAATGCCGCAGACGTTTGAACTTGGTGGAGCTAACTTTGAGCAAAGAGGATACTAGCTTCATCCGACAGTTATTAAAGTGGAATGGTTATGAAACCCCGTTAGACCTGTCTGTTATATGTTTTTGTTACCTTTTGGACCTGACCGTGCACAACGTTCAATAGCATTACTATCATTTTGAACTTACTGACCAATAGAAACATCGTATTAATTCATTCATTCACAATTTGAGAACAAAAAAACAAAGATTGTACACGGTAAGGGAGCTTCCAACATAAACTACAGCACCGTTGTTTTCAACTTTGATATTTGTCGGCTTTCATAACCAGTCTCCTCTAATAATCATAGTTCTTCTGAGTTGAAAAACATACCATAGCAAGCGACAGAAGAATGGTATCAAGACAAGTTTCCACGGTGGGTTTACCAGCCTATGAAACGTAAAAAAAACAGCGTTAAATCAATCCTGGGAATAACTGAAAAAGGATTTTTTCCTTTTTGAGTAATTTTTCGAAGGTCTTTGAAAATGATGTCAAACTTGGGACCGTGCATAGTAATAGTACAAATTCGTCGGGAAAGAATAAACAAATAGATACATAAATAAATAAACAAACAAACAAATAAATGAATATCCCAAGTGGTTTTCATCTACCCGGCAATCCCAAAACTAGTTTCTTTCATTTACAATGGCAAAAGAGATTCAACAACAACAAAACTCGACCCACGTATGTCGTCGCCTCCAGCACTCGAACACGGGTCACCTTGATGGGAGGACAGTGCTGTCACCACTGCACCACTCGTGCCCTTTCTCTGAAGGGCATTTCCTTCGGCAAAGGAAAAAATCTAAGCTTAAATGTACCTGTTCCACAGCAGTACTACTCAACATTTCTTTGCAGTATTTGGTATAGTGCATCTGGAAAACAAACAGAACAGCTGTAAGATTAATTGAACAAGAGTAATTCATGCCTGCAGTATACTTTTATCAAACAGATTTGAGTTATAAGGTAATGACGGGCTACAATTGTTGTATACAATCAAAGTAACTGGATCTTAACTTCAAAGGAGGTCAAACGAACTTGGGACACATCCTTCTGATCGGCTTTGGGCTCATCCCTTCATCCCCCAAACCACAACGCCCCCACCCCCTTAAGCAACACATTTACAAACATTTTAGTCAAAATTCAATATTGTTTGGGGTGGGAGGGGGAGGTCACAAGTTATACTACTATCACAGCAAAGGTACCAACACGTTTGACCTCCATTGTTGCTTGCAGGCACAAGAGCTGATGTGACGAGATAAGTGCAGGGTTAGCCTACGTGTAGCCGCACCCTCCCCCCGACGAAGGAAACTCCCTCTCTCCGTTTTTCCTTCGTCGGGGGGAGGGTGCAGCTACACGTAAGCTATGTAAGGGTGTTCAAAAAACTTACTGAAGAACACCAAACCAACATCCAACATGCAGTACAGAGTGGTTAAGTTCCTACAGGCATGCGAACAATTGTTTAGCTTTTCGCAAGCTGAAAACATTATTTTTCCATTGCAATGTTCACTTCTATTCATTGAACCATTCTTTGGCACATTCTATTTGGTAAAGTAAAGATGCACGCATTGGTATTTGTATGACAGAAAGTACAGCAAAGCAAATAATGATACCAGACAGTTGAAAGCTTGAAGATTCGCTGAACCGGCAAATCTCAGCCCCACCGCCATGCAACAGCCAGCGATAATGTTGACCTTTGCTTGACTGAAAGAAACAAACACATTTGCATTTGATGCTGAGTGATTACACTGTCTAGAGTCTAACTTAAAAACCATATGGTTTGTTTAGGCCCCAGGCATTTCTTTACTTCTTTTTCCTATATATTTTGTTAAATTGAACCTTTACATTAAACGCTTGTTTTCTTATTAACATGCTCTTTTCACACTTTCTTTTTCTATATATATCCACGAATCAAGGTAATTTCTTATCTTTTGATAATGATGATGACGCCATCAAAACGTCAAGTTTCTTTCATGTCGTTTGTTTTTCTTTTAAAATGTATCCTAAAATATAGTATATAATAAACTGTTTTTGCAACGGTAGAAAAAGCTAGGAGTCACGACTGAAATACAAAAAACTGACAGGTGAATATTACCAAAAGATGTGATGTTCGCGCAATTCAACAGGCTTCTTTGTATAGGAGTGCGTAGTCGAAAGTATAAGAAATAATGTCAAAAAAATAAGAACAGCTGTGAAATAGAGCCACAGGACATCAAGTACTGCTAGTGGTCTTTAAAACTTTATAAGCAATTCGTTCCCAGTTGATAAGACTTATCAGCATGAGAACTACCATTATTTCCTACTGCTCTGTTACAATGTTTAATGAACTAACCTGAGACTTTCAATGTCGATGTCAGCATCTTTAGGCTCGATAGTAGAGTCATAGTGTTGAACAATCTTTAAAACAACAAAAGTACAGCTTTACTAACAGCTCTTATTAAACTTCTACTAACAATATCACTGTACAATCAAACATACAGCCCACGCCAGAGTAAAAAAGGAAATCTGCCTTGACATTCACGTCACTACCGCAATGAAAAATATACGTAATTAAAGTTTAATTCAACTCGTTGTTATCTATTCTAAGATTTGTCTATTGACATAGGATTTCCTTTTTCCTTTCCTAAAGCTGACAACGACAAGAGATGTTTCATTTTCCTAGGAATAATGCACTTTTTCAAGTACGTTAGTTTGCAAGCGTAAATTGAAAAAAAATCAAGTGTATCTATGTTTTGTATAAGCACACGTAGAACCTGTAGTGTGCAACAAACAGCCCAAGTTTTTGAGATTTTTTGAATCCCTTCTTTTCCGCTTTTACCTGCTGTTGCGACATTTTCTGTTAAAATGGTATTAGGCAATGTTAAAGCGAAAACGCCGTTTGCATATGCGACTAAACATTTTCTGCAGCGCATATTAATATCCTCATATTCCATGACTTTCCATAATCTTTTTCATGACCTTTTTAAGTTTTCCATCACCTTAAGGTTAGCTGTCACCTTCAAAAATTTTCAAAACTTTCCTTATTTTAGGGTATTTTTTGACCTAGCACAGTTAACAGGCACAAAATTTGGTGTTCATCAAAATGTGTGCCGGATTTCGTGCTGTTTTACTTCTCGTCTCTATATTACAGTACATTGCCCTAGCTTTGACACCTGCAGTAACTAATCGTTACATATAAGCTTACAGCGGGGATGTGGCTTTCCACCCAGTCTGTGGAGGGGTAAATGTGGTCCCACATTATAAGGCCTCTACTTAAAAGCTGAAAAAACAAACAAACAAACAAACAAAATCGTCTGTCAACCTCAACTAACTATAAAACCACTTATTGTTCATTCAAAATATTTCTACGTTTTTGATTGGTTAAAATCCCACGCATCATAACCAGTTACTGTCGACCAAATTTGGAAGAATTTTACGATATGTGAGTAATGACGTCAATTGTCAATTATGGAGATCTCGGATCTCTTCATAATTCTTCAGATGATACTCATCCTCATTCAATAATAAATTGCTAACTATCATTGGAAACGTCTATCGTTGATCGTCAGAAGGGTAGCTATTTCTGGTGGAAAACGTTCGCGATGGAATAGTAAAGAAAAAAGAATAGCCCAACAAAGAAGTGAGGATAGAGTGGCAGGTTGCATTGTTTTGCACTCTTAGCTGCTGTTTCTGTGGGTTAATAACAGGAAGCTACTCATCAGTAGACAGTTGGATTGTTCGTCACTTTTGACCAGAGTTGGTTTTGCACACATTTATTTGGAAGCCTGGCTAAGACGATCAGTAATGTTACAAGAAATATGCAGCTCCTGACTTCGTTGTTGACTGTGATTGCCAGGAAATCGGGCAATTCTCAGGAAAAAAAACGAAGGAAAACCAATGTCCTTTCAACGCAGCAAATCACCTTACCCGAAGAAGGAGAAAGTCGGGACGAATGAAATCCAGCAAGAACTGGGTGTCAGGAGCATCAAGCCAGGCTGCTACAGATCTGAAAAAAAAGCAGGATAAACGAAAATTACAGAAGTTCTTGTATACGTCTCGTGGCTATATTTGAAAAAGTTTAACATCTCTCGTGTTTTCTAGGTGTTTCTAACTGCTGACGAAGTGCAATTCAAGCGAGAAGAGTTTTAAACATATTTAAGGTACTGCGGGGCTTAGTTACACTCGCGCGGTGAATTCAACTGAAACCAAGGTCAAACATAACTATGTACTCTGCGCCATGTGGCTCACTGATTGAGTACGTACGAGTTATTGGTCTTCATAAACATTAATCCTAGAGCGAGAGTGGCGCCTGGTCCAGTCACATTTACATTCACACTGTCGCCTTCCTGTAGAAAAAAAATGCTGCATGAGAAAAGAGATCTCGAGAGCTTTATTTTATTGAGTATCGCCAAAGTGAATAAAAGGTTTTTACACAGTTCAACCAAAAGGGGAAGGGGGGCCGGGGGGTGAAAGCCCTTGAAAAAGCTACCCTATGATGTAAGCTTTTAATGATAGCGCGCAGGGTGCATAAGATGTAGGTTGAGTCACCAGCCTTGGGTGTCTCGGTGCGCCCGCAGTACTCCCCACCCGACGGTTGGGCGCACGCGCACGGCTTGGTGGGGAGTACCTCGGGCGCATCGAGATACCCAAAGCTGGAGAGTGAGCCTAGACGGGATACACAATCACGACGTAAGCATGAAAGCGAGGTCTAAAAGCCACATCGCAATTAAAATTAATTGTATGAAGTGGAAGACGCGCACCCTACAACAACGACAAAAAATAGTTCTCACAAACGCCGCGCTGCTGCGCTTTGTAATAATCGTTCCGATAATAGGAAAGACTTAACGTTTCAAGTATTTTCGAAGGATCCTTGCTGAAGGTTAGTTTCTCCACTGTCCACTTTCCAACGCTAGTTCATTTACTATAACTGCTTCAGGGATATCTTTGGGGGGTACTTTTTTATCTCTAAACGCCGAATCGTTTTTGTTTTGGCCGCCCTACTTACTTTTTTTCAAGTTTGCGTGAAATCTGGTGGCCCATAGGCCTCGCTTTCATGCTTACGTAGTAAGTGTGTATGTGGCCGACACATCTTCGACCGAAGCCACGAACGGCCGGTCACTAACCTATAAGACTTGACCGAAAATAACCATTGTTCTTTTTATCGCTTTCAGATAAGGAAGAGTCGTAGTCAATTGTCTGACTTCCATGGGACGTAACAGAACCTTTCAATTCACGTGCACATTAGGGCTAGGTCATAGCCTACGACTTCGTGAAGTATCAACTGCGTCATAAGCAGTCTGGCTTTGTCTCCTAAAATTATACCTCAGAGGAGGATCGAATAGTATCCCATGATGCATTTTTCCAGAAGCATCACGCAATATCGCAGTCATAGCAGATTCCATCTTGAAATAAGGTCGTTTTCTCGTCGGCTTTTTTCTCACTGGATTTCCAGTAAAAGTAAAAAAATTACATTATTTCGTTATTTAACATGATTTCTCCGATTTGCAATGGCTTAAGAGCGAAGTTTCCACTTAGAAACATTTATTTTCACGGTTTCAATTAGTCTTCCCATCAAAAAGTGTTCAGTGACCCACAACCAGGTCATGAATATTCAAGGTTTTTTGGAATATATGTTGAAATCTTACAAATGTGGACCTCACGCCAGCAAAATGAAGTCCTGAATATTGTACAGGCCAAGAAGTACCCAGAAGTACCCACATTTTGAAGACTTTTTTGTCGACCAAAGATGGCTGAAATTTCGAATCTTTAATCACATTTCAACGCCATGTGTCATAATATATGTGTAAAGCCTGATGAAGGCTACAATCTGTTGGGCGCTTTTGAGAGCGCTTTATGCCGAAGCAATCACTTTGTATTTTCAAAGAGGTTATTTTTAAAAGGAATTTGACTATAATTATTTTAATTCGAAGAAGGAGCGGTGTATAACGGTGTGTTTCAGTGTGAAAAGAACCCAAAGAAAGGAACCACGCAGCATGCAAGCCGGCACAACGTAAACTGAAGCCTGCTCAGAATTTGAAAAAGAAACGTCATGCAGAAACTTTATTTATTCAAAAGAACAGATCAGTATTCTGGCCAGGAAATTTCCTTGAAGATTGCTTGAGTCAGTACCGGGTAGACTGTGCTTCAGAGAGTTGTTTGTCGAATCAATAGGTTAAATTTTATTTGTAACTGCCATTGTAAACTTCAGCTCCTTTGAGCGCGATGCTGTAATAAATTATCCTTTGGTAATTAGCTTCACAGCGTAGCGGATGTTTTGTTGGAACCACTTTATAGATCAGTCATAGTTTTGGTTCTCCTCTGGCCTGGGTTCTCCTAGTGAACCTAGCGAAGCTTATCAACTGCGAGTCTTATAATTTGTGTTTACAGTGCGACCGAGCGCGGCACAAGTAGTTCTCGACAGATCAGTGAAATACATGTAAAACCCTTCTCAGTCAAAGCAACGCTGAAATTCTCCTTTAAAGCACAGTGAATATTAGCCAACTCGATAATCTCAAAAGCAGAAGCTGCTGAACCGAAACATGTTTGGAAGCCATCCACATCGAGCACTGCGATCGATGTTCACTTCGCGCATGCTGAGGGTTATTGATCATAATGTGTCACGTACGCAGTGATAATATAACATGAATCGAGGTGCATCATGGGATACTATTCGATCGTCGTCTGATTATACCTGAAAAACTTTGAGGGTGTGGTCAAATAGGTTTACACTGATTGTACTTTGCAGAATCAGTTCTTAAAGACAAATCAATTCCCGTTTACTTTGGGTTATATGAGCGATGTATATTGTCTATAAAAAAATGGTTTACCTTTATTTGATAACTAGGAGATTTAAACTTCTCTTTCTGAGTTCCAGTCTACAAAGAAATAAGTTGTACATTTAGGCAATTACAAAAGTGGAAAAATAGCGACATAAAACCACAACTATTTTTGCGTGGTGCTGTTTATTATACTGCACGGGGTGGTTACAAAATTTGAGTCTACGACTAAAATTCTAAGTTATGACTCTTCACCACTTTACAAACGAGAAGGAAACTGGGCCGAGTTAGCTTTCTCAATGACTTCTGGGATTGTTACTGGGGACGGGCCAGTCAGCTATTGGCCAATAGGAAACTGGGCCGAGTTAGCTTTCGCAATGACTTCTGGGATGGTTACTGGGGACTTACCTGTCAGCTACTGGCCAATAGGAAACTGGGCTAAAAGTTAGCTTTCGCAATGACTTCTGGGATCGTTATTGGGGAGGCGCCAGTCAGCTTTTGGCCAATTTTTTTCTTGTCCCCATTAACGGTCCCAGCAGTCTTTGCGAAAGTTAACTCGGCCCAGTTTCCTTCTTATTTCTAAAGTGGCAAATGCTACTGAACAAACTTTCCAGTCCTACTGTTGATTATGCTTATTATACGTCAAATAATTAAGTTTAAGGCTGAACTAAACCACTCAGACTGTAGCTCAGATGATTAAAAGCCAACCTGAGGTTTAGTTTGTCCGCCAACCATGTAGTGGTAAAGCTGATCTGCGATCTTCAAATCTGCTACACTTGCTGCTTCGTTACCATGCTTAAGGAAGAATAAATACATAAAATAAGTAAATAAATAAACAGAAAAACAAATGAACTGTTCCCACGCTCAAAATTAAAAGCTTCTTATTTTCAGTGTCTTTAATAAATAGAGTCCATAATCAAAACCGAGACATTCAAAGTTTGGTCATGAAAACACAAAACGCACGTGAAATTATTCCCTAATTTCACTCGTCACCATTTGATTACACATACTAACAACGGTTACCTCTAACATGACTAGACCCAGCGCAAGGCCTGCCGCAAGTGAGTAGGATTCTCTATTGACAGCATTCTCCATTTCCGGGCCAGGCGGCCTGCCTAAAAATAATTTGAAATAATTTAAATCTAACACTGAAGTTCTTGACTTTTAGTTTATTGCTACAACGCGACTTGCGCCCCCCCCCCAACTTATCTCCCTCAAGTGATAAACCACTCTGTTGTAATGAATGATAATCGTATAAATTCAGACTAACCGATCTCTGACAGCAGCACTTCAGCCATTCTGCGCTGTGCAGTTCCTTGGTAAACAAGACCAACTCCTAGTATGGCAGCCACCTGAGCTGAATGTGGCAGATCAAGCTCTGCCGATGTTGGTGGTAGCAGAGCGTCAATATGAATGCTTAGCATTTTGGTGGTGGTCACGTCCATAGTGCCACGTCTGAAAGTGAAAGATGATACAGATACTACAATAAACGTCCAGCATAGAATCTTTAGATGAGGCGTCAGAAAAAAGATTAAATTTGTGAAATTATGGGGTTTGGGGGTTATTATGAGAGAGCAACATCCAAAAGGCCTACCTGCCAAAACTTAGCATTCCAGGGCATATTGTCTTTGAGATATCAGCCAAGTTCTGATGACTCCATACAAATCGTTCTAAATTTGACTCAGTTCATAACATTAGGAACCGAGTCAAATTTAGAGGGATTTGTATGGAGTTACCAGAGCAAAACGGGGCTAGTATCTCTGAAACAATTTGCTCCACAACGCTACTTTTTGGCAAGTAGGCCTTTCAGATGTTGTTCTTTCAAAATATGTCTTTCAAAGTGTCCTTTTTACGGTCGGTTATTGCACTAAGGAGGACAAAATGTAAACGTTCAGCATCAACGCGCACTGTGAGGGCGACCAGGCCTTGGTGCGATCCAGGAAAATGAAAGAAGGTAATAACTATCGTTAGTGAAGGTGCGCTTGACATTATTGAACCGCACGTAACACTGGAGGAGGTAGTATTCTGCAACAGTCTGCGTTTTGGCGACGTGACACCATAACATAGGTTTTAAAAAAATATGTTGACAAGTAATATTTTTGGAAATGTATATACCCTTCCTTTACATACAGGGCGCTATGCAAAGTGGCTGTCTTGTTCCTATCTGGGTCTATGTTAGGACATATTAAATACAGAGTCCTGTTTCACCAATCATCTTAAGGCCAGCTGTTAAAACACTTACTTTGAAGCTGCCGCCCCAAGCAGTAAACCCACTGTGGTCAACTCATGTCCCTGGGTTAATGAAGAGAAAGAATAATACGTTTAAAAGAGAACAAGTCATTTCTACTGCAATAGTTTCTAACCTTACAAAGATAATCGTGTACATTCATAGGTGAAACTCAACAATGGTGACCCGGGTTCAATACCCGACGTCGACACCATATGTGATCATAGTCTGTTGTTGGCTATGGCCCTTGCTCCGAATAACTTTCTCGCTATATTCCAGATTTCTTCTTTTCATAATGTCTAATATTTCCAGATTCCAGTTGGATTCGGAATGGTAAAGAAGAACTGCTTTGTGGAGATTCTACCACCAGATAGATCGTCATGTGTTTTTATTCCTGTTTACTCATTCATGCAATTAAAGAGAAAACAACCTAAAGTTACTTCACGAGGTTACAAGACTGCTCAATGCACGTACATACCCAGCGAAATACAAACTGAGACGTACAAAATGAGTGACAGTTACTAGTATTTCACTAATGATCCCTTGGTGCGTGAAGCTCCAGTAACTGTCCCTTATTTTCTATGCCATAATTTGTATTTAATATGTATTCATATATTGTACCAGAAGCCTTCTCTCACCTTACACAAGTAATCGTGTAAATTCATATACGATAGGCTGTTGAGGTGGCCAGTAAGGCCGAGAGCCATGAGAAAACCTGCATGCTCTTCTGTTAACTGGTTGTTTCTTGGTTTGTTATAAACAATCCACGTACTGTCGATCTGTACAAGAAACCAAAGTGCTTTCGTTATAATGAAGATGCATTGGAATACGCCAGTGACTCATCACTACCTTGATATACCTTTGATATTCCTTGTGCGATCCTGAGACCCGCTGCCACTCCATTGTGAAACAAAGGCCACACTTTCATATCCATGGGTGTTTCCACATGTTCTAAACCAACTGACGTGTTCCTAATAGAGGTGGAGAGTTTTTAGTACACTGGAAGCAGAGACTTCACACTTGATTCCAATGTGTTTTTAGAATCGAACAATCGTGGCATTGCTCCTTCAAAACCCCTCTGCGCTCGATTTTGAAACTCCGTTGAGGAAATAACAGTAGAAACGCAAACACAAGTTTGCATTTTTCAGTTTTATAATTTAGTGTTAACACAGCAAGAGCATTAAGGCCTTATTAGCCCGATCTTCTTACCTTGGAGGCGCCCGTCCTGTTAGATCTAGTGGTGGAATAGGAAGTGTTTCTGTTAACACAGGATGAGAGGTGGCCATGGTGAACATGCCCCTAGGAAATGAAATAAAACGCGAAACAAGCTCGTACCTGCACCCCTACTCTGTAGGCCAAAGGTAAAACACTTTTGAAATCATATTCATACCTTCCTACTGGTAAAGCCATTGTTCTCTTACACATCATAAGTAGACGAGTCTCTTGTTCCTGGATAAAGTCATGGTCGCTAAAACACACATCGAATGCTTTTAGTGGATATTTTCTGGCTGCTGTAAATTTAGCCAAGGGTAGGCGAAGTTCCCGTTAATAAAAAGGCATCCACTAAAGTTGAGCCTGCGATCAATTGAAAACTAGTATCCTGTCAGTGGAGAACTACAAAAAACGTAACCTCATGGGTCGACACCTGAGCCCGCAATACGATCATGTGATACTGGTCAGTGGATACCCTGCTTTGACAGCTGATCACAACATGGAGGTGCAATATCAGGTAGCAGGCTCCCACACTAGCTAGAAAGTTTGACATTTAACGTTGGTTTTCCTGTGGAGCGGACGGACGGGCGGTCGGGCGGACGTACGCTCACGTAATTACCAAAATTTCTCGGATGGATGGATTTTCTTAGGTATGGGGCTCTCCTCGCGCGCGAGTGAAGCTCTGCTAGTACATACGGCCCTGGAAAATTATGATACTCCACTTTCGAGTCCAGGATCAAAGGAATATCGAAAGACATACCTGACTTCAGGCTTTTGCACAACACTGACAGTTAGAGGTTTGGAAGACTGCAGTATTCTCTTTATTTCTTCAACTCTCAGGTCTTTGCCAAAGCGTAAGCTTAGAATCTGGAAAAGAAAACGTTAATAAAGCCCATCAAGATATAGTGTAAATTTTAGATCAGTTTTTTTCCCACCCCATCGGCAAACGTAATGACATAGGGTGTCAAGATCCTTTGGGCGCTAAGGGACGGGCATAACAATGATAAGGTAGACAGACATGAATGGACTAGAAAAAGTATAGGTCAATTGACTTAATGATTCATAAATTGTCATACGAAGAAGTAGATGCATGGAATGTTGATCGACCGACTAAGTTAAAAGGGATGTAGAAGGGCTGCCCCTTTGAAGTTTTCAACCATAAAAAAGAGACGGAGAGCTCAAACGGAGTGCGTCATTTTTCTTTTCCTCCTAAGAGTACCTACATGAATATGGAAATATATGTGGTGGTAGTGGTGGTGGTAGTGGTAGTGGTAGTGGTAGTGGGTGGTGGTGGTGGTAGTGGTGGTGGTGGTGGTGGTAGTGGTGGTGGTGGTGGTGGTGGTGGTAGTGGTAGTGGGGGTGGTAGTGGTGGTGGTAGTGGTGGTGGTAGTGGTAGTGGTAGTGGGGGTGGTAGTGGTGGTGGTGGTGGTAGTGGTGGTGGTGGTGGTGGTAGTGGCGGTGGTGGTGGTAGTGGGTAGTAGCAGTGGACTTTATTAACCTGTCAAGAATCTCTAGCGCATAGCACTAATTGGTGACACACAAAAAAATAAAATTAATAAAAATCAAATATTAAAAAAGTGTTAAAATAATTTTAAGATAGAAATGCAAATAGGTTGAAAATCTAAACCTATTTACACGTGAAAAGATGTATGTATATGATAACAGGATAGAAATTTTGCTGTGTAACATAGGGTCTCAAAGTCAATTATTACAAAGCATGCAATTTCTACAGCCATCCTCGATTATTATGTATATATATGTAATGATTTTAGGATTTTTATTTTTTTTTCAGACCTTTTTGAAGCGTTGTAAAGCGCTCAGCACTGAAAAGTATAAGCGCTATATAAATATTTTATTATTACCATTATTATTATTATTATTATTATCATTATTATTATTATTATTATTATTATTATTATTATTATTATTAAGAAAGTCAGGTCTGTTCTCATAATTTTAGTCTTAAATCTGCGCAGACTATCCTCGGCACGTAATTCCTTTGTACGTTTCGACCAGAGGAAAGGGCCATAGTATCTTAATGAATACTTTCCATATTTAATCGTAATAAAACGAGGCAGACTGAAATCCGAATTACTTACAGAATATCTCCTGTCACTGTTTGCTTTCAGCGTGGTCCAATTTTATCCTTGGTTATAATTTTATTTTCCTTTGTTTCAAGGTCATTAACAAACATTACCATACCCAAAAACCAAGGATAAAATTAAAAACCACAATATAAACTTATAAGTATATAACTATAAAAGTATGAGAATATAAGTACAGAAGGATAATATTTACTTAGGTTAAGAATACTGGCTCAAAACTAACCTCGTCATCTAAATTAAATCCATCATCTATTTCTCCTTCTTTCAAAGTAGCTTTCTTTGAAAAATAATTAGAAAATTAAAAACAACAACACCAACAACCGCTACAACATACAGCTAAAACAATCAGGACATGACTGTTAAAAGAAAGGCTACTTGCTGATCAAACCAACAAAAAGCAAAGGCTTCTGACTGAAACTACCAACTTGCAACCAATAGCGACAATAGATTAGAAGAGAAAAACATTGTGACCCAGCCAAAGAACAATCGGATTCATTTTTGCAAAATACGGACACGCGTTGAGAAATATCATCAGCAAACGCCACTCAGATGAAGCTGAGCAGTTACCAAACCCTTTCTATACCTTTTTGGCCATTTGGAGGATGCGCTTGAGAGACTGGGTCGATAATGTCTCGAATTGCACTGTGGGACTATTTTGGGGGACGAATTTTGCACACAGTTTCCTGCGCAACTTCGAAATAGCCAATAATGGAAGCGATAGCGTTCCAAAAACAATCCCATGATGCTGCTATTTCCGTGACACAAAACAGACCCAGTCTCACGCTGAACTTCAGAAGAGTTAAAGAACGCAAGTGAAAAACCTCCAGTTAGGTAAGCTGAAGGAACAAAGTATATTTAATAAAAAGCCCATCATTAAGAATCATCGGCTCAAAGCTTTTTCTCCAATCAAAGGCAAATAGTAGCATACTTACTTTCAGGGGCCCGTGAGGGTGTAATTTCTTCTTTTCTGTTTGCAGCATGGAGGCGAGATCTTCACGTCCTAAAAGGCAGAGACGCGACTCCTAATCCCGGAATTTGGATTTAACCCTTACCCTTACAATACAATAATTAGAAACATCACTGCAGAAAACTAGTTCACTTTACTCCATTTCCACACTTAACGAACGCAATTGGCCGTATATTCAGTCGTTACCAAGTCTATATGAAAAAAGATTACCTTCTAAGTGTACTCACCAATAAGCCGGTATGCCTCGGGTGGAAGAGTAAGGGATGGATCCGCGGCAGTCTGGTGAAGAGCTTCCTTGATAGGCATAGCCACTCCAAATGGTAACCGCTCCAGGTCATTACTGGTCAAACCTTACAATAGGTTGGCCAATAAGAGACTGTTACTCCTCAAGGAAAATTCAAGCTCTTAACAAACTGTTCGATCGAAACCGTCCAGTTACCAGACTGAGCAACAAGGTATAAATGTGAAAAAGAGAACTATTGCGAGGTATAGCTACACTTTAAGTCAAGAGGACCAATACAGCTGAAGACCAACCCAACCTTTATTGCATAAAACACCTGCGAGTATTGTCTATGCCACTTTATACAATGATGTGAATGCTACGCGCGCTGTGATTGTTCGCTGCCCATGATCTATAAGAGTACAGATACACGGATGACATCCCTTGTTTTTTTTTGTTTTGTTTAAAATGGCGCGCGGTCTTGAAAATGTTTGTGAGAATATTTCGGATTAAGCAAAGGAAAGCTTCGAAAAAAGTTTAGCAGGAGCTATTTACAAAGAAGGAAAATGGAGAAACAGAGACAAAAAGAGTTCTTGACATCTTGAGAATGCCTAAACAGCACGAAATCTTCACAACAGTTGCTATCGAGTGTCATAGCTACGAGAGACTACTCGCAGTTTTGAAAATGTCTTCACGATTATTGTACTTTGTGTAAGTGAAGGCGTTGAAAAACTTTTCGGAGAAACTGTATACAAGTAAGACAAAGAAGAAAAGAAGAAGCAGAGGCGAACAGTAGCGTTTGGGACTTAAAATAAACCTAAACTAGCAAAACAGTCAAGCAGTACGAGAAAAATAAGTGTATTTGTTTTTTTCACGTCTGCAAAGTATAGCACAAATAGATTCCATCACGTCTTGGTTTTTACCACATTTTGCCGTCATCTGTGATCTATTACTGAACAGACGCAAGGCTACATGGAATCTAGCTGTTAAGGAACGAAGGGATGCAAGCCCGTGGCAGGGTTATCTTCATAAATAAATCGCTACCAGAGTACATGTACAAGACAACATAATAACGTGCTCACCATTCTCAGCTAAAAAGGCAACAACTTTTTCAATTGTAGAATCAAAACTAGGGAGAAAATGCATTGTTACAGAGGCGATTACTCGTCAAACAAGATAAAATAGTAAACATCCTTAGAGATAGTTGATATAAACATTGCGTCAATTCATAGATGCCGTTTGAGTGTTTTCTATTTCAGCCACTGTTAGTTACATTAACCCTTTTACCCTTAAGAGTGACCAGCAATTCACCCAGACATGACACCGTTCTATCACGGATATAAGTTGTCAGATTAACGGAAATGATCACCAAGTAAGAAAAGGCCTTGTTTGGTCATAAAATTTAGCATCAGTACCGTATATTCACGCTGATATTATTATCTTCCGGGTTTAAAAACAACTCGGTAGATTAAGATGTTTCGTTAAGTGCAAAACAAAAAAAGATCGGAGCGACAAGACTACATGCCGGTATCTTACCAATTTAATTTATCCTGCAATTTGACAACCAAGTCCTTGAACATGCAGTCTACGTCTTCTGTAAAAGGAAAACTCTGTGTTATGGTAGTAGTATAGGAGGGATGTTTTACTCCAATTTTTTGGGCAGGAATTTCATTAACTTGGGTAGGAATACATTAACGCCAATGAAGTCATAACCTTTTGTCTTGATCTCATGAATAAAATGCGCAGGAATCTCATAAAGATTCACTTCTCACTTCTTACTGTTAAGCATACTTCGTCTCTAAACTAAAAAGGAAAAATGTCTCAAACAATACGCACAGAGAAACAATGGGTGTTCACCTTCTTCCGGTAGAAGAACGGTTTCTGTATACAAGTTTAAGAAAAGAGTATTTTCATTGTTAGGGAGTGTTTAAAACAAACTTGACTGCCTGTTATTTACCTTCATTAGACCCATGTACTTAGTGCCTTTCTAAACTTAAAACGTTTTGCAATACTGAAAAACAACTATACACAGTTTACCTGAACTTGAGACACATTTGAAAAGTCTGTCAACATCTGTAACTGCTTCACTTCCATCCTCCATGGGAACAAACAACGAATAAAGCTTTGAAAAAAAGAGAATAACAGTTAATTTTATGGTAACCAGTACCTAAATGTTGGAAACACCACAAGCTTACCATAATAACGTTAAATATTCTTTTCGTAGCTCCTGGCAGCAGATAAAAAGGTCCATTCTAAAGGGGACAAATGATATCAAATGAGGTTATCGGACATTGAAATAAGGTGGATGTGATAAGACAAACCATTATTTGTACATGGTATTTCTGAAGGCAAGAGAAAAACTATGCTACCATGTATGTATATCGAAGAAGGCGAAGCCGAGGGCTAAATTAAGATTCGAGGGAAGCAAAATCAACTGTTACCCTTGGAACCAGACATTTAGTTTTAACATAAAGTAAGTAGCGTCTCCCAGGAAATATCCGATTTTAGTAAAGTCCAACTAGTGGTGTATTATCAATTGGTTGAGCTACTACTACTTTTGTCTCGATATTTTTGACCAACTAGTTGGATTTTACGAAAACAATTATTCCTCTCGTCCTCATGGCCTCTGAGTCAATAGCCCATGAGGCTGAGCCCATTCGGGCTCGAGGAATAATTGTTAAGAATGCGCTTAATAGCACTAATCAAAGGCGATATCCTCCAGAAGATCATCTGTTTTATTTTTTTTGTTTTCCACTTTATTCAACTATTACTCGCAATACACTTACAATAAACGAGACTGCAATAAATACAAATTATTGTTACACACGCATAATGAGGGCAGCAGATTTGTCAGTTTACTGTTTAGCGTTACCCTCTTTAAATAAAATTGATACATACATACATACAGAAGTCAAGAAAAGTTTAAGAGATCATCTTTTGGATACAGCTGTTTGAGGGAAGTGAATATTTCAGGAATTACATGAAAATGTAGGCTTCCGACAAGGGTTTATCACTGTGGGCATAAGAGTGCAAATGTGAAGCTAAAAAAATATCATAAATTATACACGGGACATGAATTCATGCACGGGAAAATGGGGGTGCATTTGTTAGCCCAAACAGTACTTAGTTAAAGCATGGCACATTAAAAAAAAAACATAATACGACAAGGGTATCATAACAAGTCTAAGGATCATGAAAAAGCGTCTGCAAGTGTGAAACTAAAACGAATATCGTGGGACATAAATTCGTCTGCTGGAAGCAGTGGGTGCGCTTGTTAGCCCAAAGGGTACTTAGTTGAAGCATGGCACATAATATGAAAAGAAAGAATGGAAATAATAATAATTTAATAATAATAATAATAATAGATAACACGTTTTACATCGTCGATGATTTGGGTCGAGAATGAAATGGTTATGTCTTCCCTTAAAAAAACAGTGCCAGGCAGGCAGTTTTAATGACAGAATGGCAGTTCTTCTGTCTTTACCCCTTTTATCCTTAGTTATAAGATACTGTAAATTTTTTTGATTTTTTTGATCTCTTTTACTGTATGCATTCTATTCAATTAATTTGGTTAAATGTTATGTTAGAAAAACCTTTTTAGTTATTCTGTGAATATTTCAAGTGAGTTAGATAAAAATTGACTTGACTAACACCATCTATTGAAATGAGCTTGGCGCACTTGTTGGACCAAATGGCACTCACGTCTTGCATACGTCCACACCGAAGTGATGGTACAAGGCAATGCATTGCAGGGCAATAACTCTTGTGCACCTAAAAGCTACTGTGAACAAAAAACGTTCTCCTTCACCCAATAATGTCAACAACTTCAACTTACTGTTGTGGGAGATATCTTAGCAGGGGTTAAAAACGTTCTCTCAAACTTTTTCCACGTAAACACTTTCATTTGTCTTACCTGGTGACCACTAAGATGTCTATACAGCCACTGCATAATGCTGGGAGGCTCTTCACACAAAGGACCAAAGCATTCCTCTGATTGCTCTGAAACAGAAACTCCATTAATAAAAAATCCTGAATTATTTTCTTTGAACAAGAAAATACAAGGCAAATGATCATTACCGGAGTTTTTCATTTTAGCATTAATGCATGGAAAATCTCTTTTTCAACTCCCTAAACCAGAACTTCTAGAATAATGAAAAAACACTGTTGAAAAAATTAAGGTTAATATCTCAACAAAAAAATTATGACAGATTATGAAGTCCATTCCACAAAAGGGATGGGAAGAGCACTTAAGGGAAGTGTGGGTGAGAGTGTGCCACCAAGCCTTTAAAGCATCAATGTCTTTAACGCAAATACGTTCATTTTGCTATCCTGTTCCGTGAATCTTATTCATTTCATTTCGAATACAGAATCAAGTACTTCTCTCTGCTGAAAGAACATTCATGTACACCTTGTTTATGGCGTCGGGTCCATAAAGTCAAAAACGGGGCTAGAATTGCAATTATATGCCCTCATTAAGAATCAGTACCCTGAGAACCATACGATATCTGGTTTGGCCAGATAAGAGAGTGCCCTCCCCACCCCTTACCCCCAGCAAGGGCCTAAAGGTAACTACCAACTAAGTTCACCTTTTGTCATTGGAGAAGGAACGTCCCAGGAACCATCAAAGAGGGCAGGAAAATCTCGGTGGTAGTACTCAACATACAAATGCCAGCCAAGGTCACTAAAACATAAAACAAAGAAGGAAACTTTTAATTAATCTTTCTTTTTGTGCGACCAGCGCTAAACCTATTCTCAGCGGAACTAATATTAAGGAAGCACAAGCAGGAGAAAGTCTCACACTTTTTTCTCATGTTTCTGTAAAATCAACATGTGGTTAGTAACCACCCGAGTTAAGCAAACGATAGCGACATGTTCCATCGTAATGATATTTAAATTTTGAACGTTTTGTGTAACTTGATCCTGAAAGGTTTCAATTTCTGCTGTTCTTTTTTCGTTACGATTAATAGACCTCGATACCTCGTTTCAAAGTAACATCTCCTTTTCAATTCTGTAGATGCAATTGGGTAAAGAGGGCTAACAAACATAAATATAAAAGAAAACTACTATTGCGCCATTTTCGAATAAGGCGTATTAGCAGGCATCACCAACCACCCCAATCCAAGTTTATCAAAGACTTTATTTAGTACAAAACATCATGAAGCAAAAGTTAGATTCAATGTCATGACAGCTGGTTCGTTGCATCTTTTACAAAACGAAGACTTACACTGCAAGACTGCACAGGAAGCGAGCTAAGGGATAAAGTGAATCTTTCCATAGTATATCTAGCTTAAGGTCCTGAAATGTAAAACAGATCAGATCACAAATTTGTTTAAACGTGATCTTCAATTACTTCAAGCGAGACGATGCATAACTGTTTCTGATCGCACTTTTCTTTAAAAAGTCCATAGCATGAATATCAAGCTTTAGGTATAACCACAGTTGCATCTTGGTGGGTACATATAAAAGAGTTTAAATACCTCATAAACCAGGTGCCAGGCAAACAAAATGGATGGAATATATCGATACAAAAGAGCATCTTTATTAATCCTGGTAAGCAAAAAGACAATAACACTTATATGACATTTACTTCTTCTTTCATGTCTACGTTTATGAATGAGTCCCTTACGGGTATGGATTGATATGTTAATGGTTTGCGTTTCATGGCTCTCACTGAACTGATTTGGCGACTTGGAGGTAAACAGATTAAAATGTGGATGCATTTACGTCATTGTCATAAACACAACACCATGTGTAGCCTACAGAGCTGCCAATGTGGTTTTAGCTTTTAAGTTTTTAAGAACAAGATTGTAAACTGACACTTTAAGACTCGGCTGTTATTACGATGTTTTAACTTGTCCGTCTTGGTCTCCTTTCAAAAAGCATACCGCTTGATTCCACTTTAAAGGGTGTCAAGGTTATTGTACCAATGATGTGCGAAACATCAGACTCTCGTTAACACATTTATTTGACTACTATTGCCAGGCAGTTGTAGCAATATCTATTTCAGTCCAAGTTATCTACTCTGACACTACCTTTGATGCGAAGCAAAGTTCGACAAAGGCAACTTTTCTTCTTCTGTCACTTACTGTGTTTCAAGTGATATTCTTTCTTCTTTGAATGACTTATTCACATTAACGGGCTGTAAACCAATTTCCTGTCTTGTGAAGTTCTCGTGAAGCGCAGTCGTCATTAACAACTCCCACGCCTTTAATAAATACAAACAGGCATTTCATGTTACACATACATGTCAATCACAGTCAACTCAATAGTGTACCCAAAGGGTACTTTACATTTACATGGAGAAAATGGAAATTCTGGAAGAACAATGAAAAGGTCCGCACAACTTCACCTTGGAAGTAAATATGGGTTCTCAATATGCTTTTTAGAGTCAATCTGGCTTGAGATCACTGCGGACAGTAAATGTTAGCACTGTTTGCAAGTAATGTAAAATCAGGAGAGGCCACCCTTAGCTCACTTAGCATTTTGGACTTGGCAATAGAACAACCTCTGCCAAAGCTACAGATAATATTCCTCTTTGGATTTGGCCAGACAAAGCAAAAATGTGGTCGGATTCGACCAAGGAGGCATATTGCGTCTTAAACGAAAACTGTACGTGAAAGACGTGGAATTCACAACCAGGTTGATTACTGCCTGACTACTGCCATATAGCATCTTATGTAATGTATTTAGATGGTGAGAAAATTCACATAAGCTCCATTTAGATTTATTCATCTGCAAAACGATAGCCTTACGTATAAACTATGTCAGAGGACACCATGTCTGACCACAGTTAAGTTTTTGTCAGATATGGACCAATTTTAGGCTTATTTTTAGGCTGGTCTTTGCAGCTTTAAGCAAGAAAAGTGAATTGTAACTTTTAGTTTACAAAAGCCAAGTTAATTTTGGGCAGAGTGCATGTCCTATGGTTGGTGCGATTCTTTCCCCTTTTTTTACGCAATGCAATTAATTCGTGCTTCATTTGACATAATGGGGACTTGAAGATCAGAAAACGGGACGGCAGCGAACACGTCGCTTAAAAAGTGAATTGCGTTCTTTTTGTTTTCATCGCGATTATTCCTACCCACTTACTTCATCAAATGAAGGCAAACCCTCCTGGAGTTGAATTTCTAGTAACCTACAATGTCCAGGTTCGGAAAGAGAAATAACATTTCGTCGTCTCTTGTTTACGTTCTCCATAAGACGTTAAATTAGGCATTTTCACGTCTCAGTCGAGCAGTGACGGCAAAGAAATGTACAAAAAAGTGTGATGCACTTGCAAAGTTATTGTTTTGCTTATTAAACCTATTGTTCTTTTAAGTTAACATTGCCGTCGCGTCGTCGGATCTTTAAGTCCCTAATGTGACTGCACGATAAGTTCGTTATTTCCGCCCACAAATAACCTGCTCATAACAAGAGTTGTCAGTACCTCAGTGGCTCCGACTAGTGTCTGGAAGGTCGTGGGTTCGATTCCCATCTGGAGCTCAGAAATTCTATTTGAGTTCTTCTCTCCACACATCATTCTATGCATTACCTTACTATTACCACTATCTTCAGCCTGTGTTTTCGATTTCTTGGCAGCAGGTAAACCTGGTGAGTCACACTGCAAAGGATGGAAACAATCCGGTCAGGAACAGTGCGTATAAGTATTCAACTCTGTTTAGTTTATCTCCAAACTTAGCACAATCGCACAGATAAGGTTTTGGTTGTCGATGAATTCTCAATTGCAACCTAAATCGTCATGCTTAACTACACGAAATTGCTTTTTGTACTTGTCTTTTTTTAAATAAATTAGGCAATTTTCTGGACTTATTTGCATAAACAAGGAAAAAATGTCACAGTAAGCGTTTAGTACACAAAATAAAATGGTTCCCATTTTAAAATCCAGTGGAAGTAGAGTCTGTTTGCTACTATGCTGGAAAAGTACTGGTGATGGGAAAGAACTGGTGATTTGTAAATTGACTGTTTATGTCAGAATGGGCTTTTAACATGAAACTTTGAGATCAATGACACGCCCAGCCACAAACTGGGGATTGCATTCATCAACCCTTCTTACTAAGTTCGTAAGTAGGAAGGTGTGTTTGCTCCACAAGCCAACGACATGATCACCTGAACTGAGAAACATTCTCCTTTAAAATTCCCTATTAAAGACAGTGCACTTACAAACTTTTGCTTTTTTCCAACAACAAATTTCTCTGTAGACATCCGTTTCTCTGATTCTTTCTTTTTTGAAAATGTTCCTTATCTACCCTCAAAGTAGCCATAATTATATCCCTGACAAACGTTTTTTTCTCTTTGACTTCTGCACATAAAATGGGATTTTTAATTTTCCAGCCACACATGTTACCTTTGCTGATTTATCCTTGGGAAATCCCATTAAGTCCAGGAGACATTGAGTGAACTGCACCCACTCCCCTCCGCTGGCTAGAGAATGTGGACCTTGAGAGGAGATGTAGCAAGTAATGTGGGTCTGCACTACCAGTGAAGCTGGAATAACACACTTCAAAGCTTCCAAACAAGCCAGGACTTGAGTACATAGTCAAATAAACGAAATGATATTGATAAAATTAATTAACATCCACTCAAGTACAAACATACACACTGCAGAGGCTAAATTACCACTAACAGCACCAATAAAGGCAGTTAGGTAGAATTAGGATCCAAACTCAAAAGTCTCAAAACTCAACAGGCATTATGGGCGCTCAGCTATACCTTCACTATCTACATAGTTTGGCTGGTCAAAAAACTATTCTCTAATAATTCTTTTGCATACCCTGTGGGTGGCTACTCTGGACAATCTTTTAGAATCAACATTGAAGCCTGGGTGTTGTGTTAACCCTGCACCGCATCTCGCACAAGGAACAAACTACATGTACATGTATAATAGCATTTCATTGCAATTTAGTAGAAGAGACTAAGCGTCTTTTACTTAGCTCAGACAGTTCGGCAAAACATCGGTTTTGTACCCTACAACAATTTGATATGAATTGGATTCCAATGATTCTCTACTGTAACTAGCTGTACATTGGCTGGCCATTGTTACAAAAGTTGTTTAACTCACCTGCTGAATTTTGCGACAAGAGAGGCAAACTCATCCTGTACAATGACCCATCCTTTAATTCCTAATGGAAGCAAACGCACACAACTATAGATTGTTTTCGCTCATGTGGTCAGCACCTATGCAAATTTCTCGGAACAAAAGAAGCTTTAAAAAAAAGAATGCTTCAGCCCCTACAAGATTGCTTTGGGGCACCAACTGTTTCATTGTTTTGGGACATCATAATGCCCAAAATGGCAGACGTGGCCTCATACATAAACACTCTGTTTGTCACTATTTCATTCATTCGGACGGGACAAAAAGTTATAATTGTAACAATAAATTCTAAAAAAGGCCATTCAATAAATTGAAAAGAATGTTGTTAAAGCAGGAACATGGACACTGTCTATTAACCATTTACAGAACAAGTTTTTAAAAGAATGAGTAAACTGGAACCACCATAACAGCTAAAACCCACAAAATCAAAATTTTTGAACACGTACAACCAACTCACCAAATTGCAGGTGGAGGATACTGCATCTCTCAAAGATGAGACCTGGAGCTCCTGTAACATCACTGGAGCTCCCACATCTACAAGAAATAAGACAGTAGATATATAAATTCCCCTATTTTCGGAAAAAACCATCTGATAACAATGAATTTTTAAACATTGCTGTTTTTAATCATTTTCCCCATGTTTTCATTCTACATTTTTTGGTGGGTTACCTGTTGTCTCCACATCACTTCTTTGTACTTCCATGGGAGAGAAGGCCAAAGTCTATCAAAGGAGAAAGGAAATAACCTCTTAGAAGAAGGTTCTACAAGGATTACATGTAGCTAATTCTATGAAGTTTTAAAGCCACACGTTAATGACTGAAAGCAACAGAAAATAAGTCAGGCTATTAACCTTTTCTTGGGTGTGAACCTGTGATAATTCTCCTGCCCTTAGGACAGGAAAGAATGGTAAATGCACCTGGAAGCCCTGAAACAACAGAAAGACAGTATGAGATACAGTCAACTTTCTCTAAGATGGACACCTTTGGGACCGGTACTAAGTGTCCGTATTAGAGAGATCTCCATCTTACAGAGAGTCAAATAAAGGGAGTAAAGAAAGGCAGGAACCAACTCTTAAAGTGTCCATTTTACAGAGGCGTCTGTCTTTATGTGAACTAAGGTGTCTGTTAAGAGATAGTTGACCGTATAGTTTTAAGATGAACCAGAAGTTTGTAGCTAAAGGTGATTACTGCTACAATCAAAATAAAGCCTTCTTTCTGAGACCCTATTTCATATGTTAAGGAAATGCGGTTGAGTAGTCTTGGGTTCAAAGCTGCAAACTGAGTTGTGACCAACTCAAATTTAAGAGTTCTTTTGTTTCATGTTTTTGGTAATGAAATGTTCCTTTAACTTCTCATTAGATAGAAGTAAATGTATAGCCTTTAAACTTTATAAACCCCTTAACTTTGAAATGATCTAAAGGCAAGGCATTTTAATTCTATCGGAAGGCTGGCCTGCCTGCCTAGATCTTGATTTGAAAAAAAAAGAAAGATCTTGGAAAACAGGCCATGTATTGGGATTTGGGATTAAAAATATTGTACAAAGGTGTTGAGGAATCCAGCAAAAACTACTGCCTGCAAAACATACCTTGACCATTCCACAATACATAACCAGGGTTCCATTAGGCTCAAGAACAAGCATCATGTTTAACCTCTATGATAAAAACAGTATTAATACAGTTAAAACCCATGATTAAGAACCTGGTTTTTAAGAACCTATTAGGCTAAAATTTGCCAGTTAAGCACCCTCTATACAAGAACCTGTTTAGCCTTAAATTTGAAACTGGTTCTCATTTTCTTAAAATTAATTATAGAGAAAAATTCCGTACACTTGGGAAAATACAATAAGATAAGAGAAGACAATAAAGGATCCTCTTTGGAAACATAGACCTGTGCCTTACACTCTAACTGCAGTATTAAACTTATTAAGTGTGCAAATTTTTACGCAGTAAGCTGAATACCACTAAATTCTCTTAAGCTACAATACATATGTTTTTTCTTCAGATAATGAGAACCTATTTAAGAATCTAAATAGCCCAAATTTGTGCTAATTTCCATTATGTAAGAACCTGTTTTATTTAGGCTACCAGTAACTTGGGAAAATTCTTAGTCAGGTTCTTAGTCACGAGTTTTTACTGTAGAAGACAGACCGATATAAAACAACAGGCCCTGGTTGTTCAAACGTTGGATAGTGCTATCCATCCAGCACTATCTAGCCAGTGGATAACGCAATTGGTTTCCCTATTAAGTACCTGCTGGATAGTGATTTATCCAGTGGATAGTGCTATCTGGACGTTTGAACAACTGGGGCTATCAAGGATTATAGGCTACAAAGTCTTACCTCCATTGGTACAGCATCTTTAGCAGTGATCTCAAATGGATTAACCAATTGTATGGATTCCCCCTCATGGGTAATCTCTACCCCTCTGAAAGAGGAATTTAACAAAAAAAGAAATAAAACCCTCAGTAGTAATACACCTTCAAGCAGTTGCAGGTGGTAAGAGGTGTTGCCTCAGGTACATGGTAAATTTTACCAGTTACCGCATGGTAAGGAGAACACTGCGGTTTTTAGTGGTTTAGATTTTCCCTGCGTGACAGGCATATTCTAAGCATTCCCATCCTGACCAGAATTTCAATTTTCAGTGCCTTGTCAATGTTTTGAACCAAGGCACTCAAGGAAAAATTAATAATTAATTTTGTTTTAAATGGGAAAATATCATGTTTGATTTCCAGAAGAAACTTACCTCTTGTCTTGTCAAAGTTTTTAATCTCAATAAAAAACAAATCAGGGTAGGAAAATAATTCAAGGTGAGAAAATACAAAAAGCATTGACTGTTTACAGGCAAAGGACTGGTATGAGCAATTTTGTTCCAAAGTGATCTGGTAAGAGCAACACGGCGCTTAGCTTCATGGCATGTAAGTATTGGGAATACAGAACTTTCAGTCTTCAAACTAAGAGGGCTATCTATCTATTTAACGAAAAGTCGTTTTCAACTAAGGCGTCTGGGCTACACAATATAATGCCTTTTTGTACATGGCAGCCTTACGTTTGCATTTGTTCTAACTTCAAGAGTATTTAAGATAATGTTTTAAGCATGTTTGCCTGTTAAGCAAAACTTTCATGGGCACTTGCTGGGGACTAGAATTTTCCATCTGGCGACTGAAAACTTCATCTGAATAAAAAAGTTAATTTCAGACCCTGCTTCATTTCATACACATGGAAATGACAGGTTTAAAGTCTTACCTCAGTTTATTTAACTGTCCAAGCAGATAGCAAAGAAACGAAGTACCAGCCTTGTCTTGTGTAATAAATGCTTTTGAAGCTCTTCCCTTTGTACCATGTCTAATAAAAGAGCAATAACTAAGAAAAGAAACTTCTAAAGGGATAGTGACTGATATACTGTACTAAAACCATTGCAGGTTTTGGCCACTTTCCATTCAACCCAAAATTCCATAAATTTTGGTTGGTACAATGTACGTCATTTCAGTTTGGTCTGACCTGAATATTCGTGACTAGCTTTGAAGGTGGTCCCCTTTGACCGGTCTGGTCATTTTGGTCGATAGGACTGAAATGTCTCTTGCCTTTTGACAAAATGGCTGTACCCAGTTGTTGTTTTGCATGGCTCTTTTAGTTTTTGTTAGAACTAGCTTAAGGTACGTATGATACAACAACAACCTAAATAGTGGATGCCCTTTCTAACCTGCCTCCACTTGAGTGCCCACTATCTTACCTATGAAAGGTGGGGAGAGTGGACAAAAAAAAAACCTGATGGCTTGTACATGTAAGTTTTAGAAATATTGTAGGATTTCACAGTGTAAATACATGTACAATGTTGGTACTTAGAAGTTTGAAAGAGTACAACAAGTCAGAGTACAAGTTCTCATAGTGAAACCGTTCAGCCTGCTATTAGTAATTTAGTGTACCTGACAGCAATTTGTGTTTCTTGCCAAATCTGACTAAGGCACACTTCTGGTAACAGTGGCTGAAAGCTATCCCAAGATGATTCTTCTCTGCTTGCGGAACATGATGTTGGAGGAGAACGAACAAGAAGAGGAGATCTGAGGCTAATTCCCAATGGAGAATCTGCTGAATCAATGTATGTAATGTATGTATTTCTATTAATTACACTATTTAAAAAAACAACTTAAAATGATAATCATGACGGATACACGTCACTGTACTTAAATGATGAATATTTAAAAGCAAAAAAGTTGTCTGATCTCTTAGTTATTATAAACTTATTGAAGGGTCGAGAAGAGCCAGGTCTAAGGTTACAAGGATTAGTTCTTTGCACAGTAGTGGACGCCAAGCACGATAATGGGTGATCACAGGTGTCTGTCATCTCAGCCATAAATCTATGACATAGGAGCTCGCATCTGTTCGAAAGTATAGTTTTGTTGGCTAGGACAGTGCTTCATGCTGTAATAAAACTTGTTGAGTGTATACAATAATACAAAACCTTTTCTCACTAACCAATGGCAGGAGACAAAATCATTGTCCTGTTGTGAGACATGTGACTCAGCAAAGGTGACATTAAACGAATTGGAGTTGGAGATTGCACATGAGCCCTGATGGCAGAAGTGGGTGTGTAGGGTCTGAAAGGAGAGAAGGACTGGGTAGGAGTTGAGACAGACAGACGTGAATGGGCGCCAGCACTAAGCACTGACATTGGAAGGTGAAGAATGTTACTGAATGGTAACTCTGGGGGATGGTCTGAGTGTGTTGGAGATGCTGGACAATCCTATCAAACAAAAGAAAAGAAGGTTTACAGTCAACAAATTTTTACACACACAATTACATGTATGTAATTTTAACAGAAACCTCTCTAATTCCCCAATAATAATTCTTTTGACCATCCAAAGGGCAGGCACCATTTTCCTGACACTAATAAAACTTTGAATGGTTTACTTCAACTTTTGACTTGGACTAGATACTTAGTTCGGGAAAATCCGTCAACTCCTCTGCAAAGGACACAATTGCCAAATTTAAAAGTAAAAGTGAAAGTGGAAACTAATAAAGATATAGCTCCTCGATCAAAGCCAGGAAATTTTTGTATACATTTGAATGGCAGGGAGGAGAACAAAACTCTACTGTAAACTCTGTAAAGTTTTGTACAAAACTGTACAAGTGTCTGTAAATTTTCACAACTTTGTGGAGCTACATCTTTGCTTGCTCAAGGCGTATAATTTTGAAACTTGGCAATTTTACTTATTTTGCAGCACTCTTTCCAGAGTTTTTACCTAGTTCAGGTCCTTGACATGTCAAAAGTTGAGAAACTGTGGAAACAAGGCTCTGCTGTAAGTAAGGGAGCCCAGTGCTTTGAAAGTGTCAAATGTACAATGCCAAGCATATGGTTTGTTTGAAAAAGTAAGATTTTCTAGTCACCCAAAAGCAAAAGTTAGACACCAGGGGCCATTGTGCTCTGCTAGAGCACAGCCCTGTGTGGGAGGGTCTTTTTATGCAAAGATTCAAAACCTTGGTACATGTATGTTAAGACAGGGATGTCACTAAGGTCTCAAGTTGCTGGAAAAATACGACAAGTACATTGTAGGCAGGAAATCAAACGGCTAGGGATTTCTTTTGGTTCCATTTTTTCTTCCATTTTCCTATGCAAGTAGGCGGGGGCCACGTTCATAATAACTGGGGAAATCCCTGGCTCCCGGCTCTTAACAGCCCTGTTAAGAGAAACATTGATTCTTGAAATCAAACTTCTATTGAGAAAGCTTACCTCAGGTTTGGCTTTGGTTACTTCCCATACAGAATGCAAGCCAATGACTGAATCGTAAGTCATGACCAATGCAGGATCACTGCATGTAAACACCACACTTACAGCTGGGTCACAAATGTAGCATACTTTGCCTTGAACTTTACATGTGACTGGCCTTGGTTCATCCAAAGGATGCATGACACTGAATATTGTGGGAACATCCCTGACGTGAATAATTGTAGTTACATACAGGCATTAGTTATTATTAGCATACCATTAATTAAGTTAGGTTCACCAATATTCTTGGTAGGGTCAACACAATAGCATATAGCACCAATGACTGTCCTTCCCCCCATAAGAGATAAACCACCACACTGGCAACTAAGTCCCCTACTGTATAGTACTCTCTATGAACAGAACGTTGGTTCTGTAACATCCCGCAGAGTTTACTATAATTGATTTTGAGTTGTGAGATGGGGCGTAGAGTATATTATACATGTACTTATCTGAGAAGACTGAAAACTCTAACCATATGCAGTCTTTACGAAGGCAGCACTTTATTCTCAGATACTTAAGGTCCAGTTGGAATTTGAACCAGTGACCTCCAACTTGGCAGACTGGCCCATATTGAATTGAGCTAACTGAGTGGTAGTTAATAGAGCAGTAGGGAAACACTTTTCGTGATGATACGTAAAATGAGATACTGTAGGACAACCTACCTTTTCTGTCCTGTAACTTCTCCAGGTGTTGTTGCTCTTTCAAGTAACAAACCTTTTTGCAACGAAACTACTTGTGATACCTAAAATGTTGAAAAGAGAGAAGTTTAGCTGACCGACTGCATTGTACAACTTACAACAACCATAATTATATTCATTTTACTTACACTGTGTGGCAACACCACTTAAGGCCATGACCATGCATTATTATAAAGCCTTTTCTCACACTGTTAACAGCTAAGCAAATTAATATTAAATAGAACAAAAGAAAGTACCGGTAAAAAAAAAAAAAACAGGAAAAAGTTCAACTTCCACAGGACTTGCTTGAGACAACAATATGGCCACAATTTCACTATTTTGGGACACCAATGTGCTGGACTTTTCTAAGTGAAAACAGTCTACACAGCAGTGAAATTAACCTGGTCAGGGGACAATTTAACGGATCCAGGTCCTTTCTACCCATTGTGACGTCATCAGTTTTAACAGTCAAGGACAACTTTCTTCGTTAACTTCTGCAGAGTGAAGAGATCTTTCAAACCATACCAGAATGAGCACAATTCAGTCAAGGACACCGGAGAAACAAGCAAAAAACCACGTGACATTGACCTGAAAATCTCCATGAAAATCTTGTTCCATTACCCACCTACCTTTCCTTTCACCTAATCCTAAGATCCTAAAAGCTTTCCTAAAAACTCTTCCCACCAAAATGAAGCCTACTAAATGCCCAGCAAGAGAAAAAAAAAATGAGGCAAGAAAAGCGAAAAAAGAAGGAAGGAGAGAAAGCGAAAAGTAAAAGTCAAGACTGCTGTGTCACTTTTAAACCCAAAAACTATGTCGAAATTTTGCTTTCTGCGCATGCCCAAACTTCTCCAGCTGATATTTTGCATCTGGATCAGAAGGCCACGAAGTGTTCGACCTGTAAACCAGTTTGTGGTAAGTTTAAGCTCTTTATAGCACGACAGTGACCAGAAAACCACTCGACTAGCTTCAAAACGCGTTTTTCGGCAAAATCTCCAGGAGCGAATGGGTTAATAAAACTTTTACACATGTAATTTACAAGGTTAGTGTAGCCATTGTTTTAGAGTCTAAGAACAATAGCTACACTTGTAAATTACACCGTACCGCCAAAAGTCTTATTAAATTGACCTCTGCCTAAAATTTTAGAAACAGACATGCTGCATGAGAGACATACACGTAATGATTAACTAACACCACTGTCGTCTATGTAGTCTTCTTCTTCTTGACTCAGTTTTAAGGTTCTATAATCAATGGTTTTCTAAAACAGTGGCATACATGCAGTACACACAAACCTGGGCTTGGGTACATGACTGTATTGTACAATTTTTTCCTGGGGTTCTTTTTGATCAACTAAGTCAAGGAAATGTGTTTGAAAAGCAAAGCTTTGCATTGATAATGCAGAAAAGTAAACAAACACCTGTCAAACATTAATCAGAGTGAACTCACTGGGAACGGTAGGGTGATAGTAAACAATGCACCATCTTTTGTCAACACATCAATGCAGTCTTCTTGAACAACACATAGGCTTTGTGATGCATCACCTACTGTGAAACAAAAAACCTTTAATAATAAATTAATAAATAGGTAAGTAATAACTTTGCACAGCTCAAATTTTCCCGGTACGGTGTGCTAGAGTGCATGTATTATTATGCTCCTTTAAATTTAATCTATAATTTAGTACAAAAGAGAAAGTATGAAGGAGAGGAAATGTGCATTAATTTATTCCAAAAGAACAAGGAAAATTGCACTGTGCCTAGAAAATATGCTCTCTCTTTAGCCTAAAATTTGAAACAGGTTCTTTTTTCTTCTAAAATCAATAAAAAAATTCTGTACACTTGGTCAAAGATGATAAGTTAACATTCAGGATCCTCTTCCAAGACCTGTAGGTGCCTTATCACTCCAACTGCGAAGCTAATTTAGTATGCAGACTTTATGTACATGTAAGGAAAGAACTACCACTAAATACTTGATTACTTAGCTACAATGTACTTTTTCCTTCAGAAAATAAAAAAAACTACCTAAGAACCTAAACAGTCTAAATTTGTTTTAATTACCATTTATGTACATGGTAAGGACCTGTTTTGGCTAATTAACTTAGTAGGAAAAGGCAAGTTCTTATCAGCAGGTTATCACAGCTGTATTTTAATTATCAAACAAATAACTCTAACGTTACCAGTATCGATATTTTCCTTTGCTGGATTGGAACAATCAGAAAGATCAAAGGTGCACCACAAGCAATCCATTACTGGTTTCTTGGCAGTGTAACATTTTTGAATTGTCCTCACTTTCTGAGATTTGCCACAACTCCACACAACAGTGTTGTTTTGCACAAATAACTGCATGTAAAGAGTGAACAAGATTTGGTGAACATGCACTTGTCCCAAGTAAAAAATTGTAGAATTTTGTTTTTGTTTGTTTGTTTTTTCAAGGAAGTGCTCTGAGCTTGAGTCTGTGAAATCCACGGTGCCCTGCATAACTATGATTTCTATGACTAAAACTTTCTGATAGATTACTAAAGTGAGACATCATAACAATTTCAATTTCTGAAATTATAGGATTATGTTCTTTCAGAATATCCTGACAAATGCCATAAATTCAGAAATTTAATCTTTATGACATCATCACTTTAGAACTCTATTACCCAGGGGTAAAAGTTAGGCACCATGGGGCCAACAGGCAGTGCAAGAATACAGCCTCAAAATTCATTATTTTGTTTGCAAAAATCCAGTAGTACATGTTCACTGTAACTCTATGTATGTGGTACAAGAGAGGGATATGCCTCTTTAATCAACAATGGCAAAAACAAAAGTTTCAATGGTACTGAGACACAAGGGAGTTTAATTTAAGCAAAGACTTTTTTGAAAGACAAATTTCAATTGAAAGTGGAATTATTTTTTTGAATTAACAATATTATTTGACGGAAGATCATCGCAGTTATATACGCACCTGCATAAGTTGCGTATATAACTGCGATGATCTTCCGTCAAATAATTCTTCACTCTGCAGTACACATGTATGATTTTCAGATGTTCATAATTTCATCATCATCCTTTCATGGGTTTATAATGAACCAATTCAACGACCTGCTCCCAGTTGGCTTGTTAGCTTAATTGGTAGAGCACTGCAATGGTATCGCAGCTAGGTCAAGGGTTTGAATCCAGTACAAGGCTTTAAGTACCTTGATATGTTAACAAATTCTCTCAACTGATTTGTTAAGGACAAGTATGGAAGTCAGTCTGGAGAAATTTGTACATGTATTTGGATATGGAGGCTTAAAAGATTAACTGAATAAATTTTGCTTTACAAATAAAAGCCAAAAAAACCCCTGAAAAAATACATAACTCTAAAAAATGCTCTGTATAGTATTACATGCACAAGTACAGTGTACCTCTTCATAGCAATCTGGATTTTCCTTTACTGATTGTAACTTCCACTTGGAACCCTAGAAAATAATACAAAAATATCAAACAGGAACAACAAAATACCCTGCCATAGCACTGTACACCTTATCGTACTTCATACATGTAATCAAGTCAAACACTGTCAACTTCACATACAGTACTGTACATGAATGCAATGAGCACAAAAACAGTACATGTACAGGATACACATCATTTAAAATAAATGAAGCCCTACAATCCTAGCCACAATAATACGAACATAAAATAGCTTTGCTGGAATTGAATCACTTCAGTGGAATCTCTGAGTGCTTTCCATTTGTCAGAACTGACCAGCCAGACCATTTCTGTCGTACACTGTATTGAGATTTTCACTTTTGATCAAAACTATCCAGCCAAATCAGTCAAATCCTAAACTAGTATGCATGAAGCAGATAATTTTTCAAAAAACCTACTTCATTTGCTAACTGACTTGAGCAGCAATGGTCCAGCTGGCCAGTTCTGACAAATGGAAAAAATGCCTTTATACTTTATATTTGGTTTACTTTTATACCAGCATGTTTCGCATGTGTATTTCTAGTGTAATTTGCTTGTAATATTGCTTACTTGCATGCAAGAAACATGCATGTACTGCTGCAATTACTTTGGCCTGTACTGTTCATGTATGTCCTGCAGTTCCCTCGCAACAAAACCATGACAATAAACTTGGTCCTTTCTCCCAAAGGTTCATAACAACATTAAAAAAATTCATCGTCCTCCGCCAAAGAAGCAACCACCACAATATGCAAAACTTTTTGGTATCAACTTTTAATATCAATATGATTTACAGAAATCATGTTGAAAACAAAAATGCTCTCACAGCGGTGTTAAGTCTTGCTTCTTGGAGATCACAAAATGTAGATCAAGAAATGAGGAGGCGATTAATTCAACATGAAACAGGATTTACTCACTAAAGGTTTTTCACTTCCCACCTCTGAATATTTACTTTTCATTTGTTTCCAAATTTATTTAGTACACGTGTTAGCGATGACTGGAAATATGTCTGCGGTCGCAGGCTATACGCATGTTTTAATACACGAAAGTTCAAGGGCCTTGACTTCAGAGAAATTACGTCACTGCCAGACTTCAAAAAATTAATTTACATGGCAAGTCATTTCAATCATTGCGAAATAAACCCCATGCTCACGACCAGTTAGTCTTTTGCTAATTAAGATTCTTCTTTTTTTTTTCGACCACAGAAGTGTTCACTTGTTCCAAAGTAATCTACGCTTTCAAGCGATAGAATTTATGACCCGTTCTGGAAAAGCTCTAAACGTAAGCTTTCTTTGCAAAACATGCCTGGCTTTGGTCATGCAACAATTCTTATTCCCAGTTTCCACAGTCTCCACTAGAAACGCCTAGGAACAAAACTGTCAGTTTGTGTACTAAATTAATACAAAGAAAAAAAAGGCTTGCAGATTATGAGTCTTGTTGCTTACGCAAGCAAGACTAAAAAAAAACAAACACCTTCCAAATTTGGTCAATGCTGGCTGGTTAGAAAGCATTAGTTGGGAGAAAGGACACCATCAATAAAGTTTAAGGTTGTTAAACTAAAAGGACCAGTAAATGTTAACCCTTACACCTCCTAGCCCGCCAACCCACCCCACCCCCCTACCCTCCACCCCACCCGGGGCATATTGGGGAATTTGCAGGAAGTTTTAGTTATTGGAGGGATAAGCAGGCCGCAGGTAATGGGGAATTTGAGGACTTTTGCATGCCATCCAAGATCAGCAGGGGAGCTGAACCGCGAAATAACTTTTCCATCTTCCACTATTAAAGTTGGAATGGGTGAAGAATCATCAAGTCAAAGAGGAACGGCGGAATTGAGTCTTACTCCCTTGTTGTGAAGAATACAATGAGAATTCTACGTGCATGACTAATAGTCAAGCTGCTCAAAATTAAAACTTACAACAAAACAAAACAAAAAATCAAGCTTACCGTTTTATTCGTAGATTCGGCGCCTTGTTTGGAACGCGAACCATCTTGGGTTTCACAAGGGCTTGCTGCAAATGGATGCTGCGAGCAGAAAGCTTTACCAAACGGCTCAAAATTTTCAACTTTAGCAGAGCTTATAATCATCATGTCATCTTCAAACAACCTATAAAAACGAAGCAAAATTGACGAGCTCTAGGCTTGAATACCTTCACGCGCTTTCCCCCGCCATTTTCGCCTCCTGTGGTGACCAGTCTTTTTCGTTTCGAACAAAGCGCGGCTACAAGGTTAATTCACGGGCCTACCAGTTTGCTATAATGGCGGTTTTCAATCGGGAGCACGACTCAGCGGCGAAGCCGCATCAGCAAAAAACGCTTATTTACTTTGCTCGCCCAACCAAAACCGCCATGCTACGCCGGCTACTCTTGAGAAGGTTGAGAAAGCCTTTAAGATATTCACAAATTTCACCTATATTCAAGCAAGTTAACGGTTACACTGTTATGAAATACTGCAGGCACCCCGAGGCACCCTCACCTGTATACAAACTGACGGTAGCGCGCGCAAATTTGTCAGCATTTGAAATTTAACTGTGTCACGCGCGTATGTGTATTATTTCTAACTGTATTCGCACTAAAAAAAACACCCACAAAGAGGATTAACTGGTTCATTTCTGAGTATTGTATTGGCTGTGACGCTTGAACGAACTTTTTCTGCTAGTAATTAATGTACTCGCTTTCAAAGCAGCAGGTCTATAGTTTTGAGGATGTACCTTTTACCTTTCAAAACCAGCACGGTGCTAATGTCAAGGAAGGTAACCAGGATTATTTTTTTTTTGGTTGTCTGGGATTTAGGATTTTTGTCTGGGTCTTTATAAAGCTGCCTTCAAGCTCTTGTATAAGACTTTTTAAAGCGTTCTCCAAGCTCTTATATAATGATAATCGTAATCTCATCCAACAGCATTTTATTTTCTTCACAGCTGTAGATATGATGCTATTCGGGGAACTGTTGCCTGCACTAGAATTAGAGGTAAGCCTAGGCCTGACTGACAAAATATAATTTCTCGAACTGACAGCGTGTCCCAAGACTTGTGGTTCTAATTTTCAGGGATTTTTTTCATCTATTTTTAAATTGATAAAACTGTTCTCGTAAGAAATAGATATAATAAGTACCTAGTAAATGGCAAGGGTTTTAAAAAGTTTATCTTTTTTTTGGTGTGTTTTAGTTTGGATTTTTTTTAAGTTTCCCGTATGGGAAAAACTCAACCGGGTGCGCAGATGTGCAGATTTTGAATTACTGTGACGCTACTTTTGCATCATGGTGCAAATAATCCAAGACTGTAACACCATTTGATTTTTCACAAAAGAGGGGCTAAGCTGGAAATGTCTGGAAAGAATCGAATGTTTTGGTTGTAAACAGAGCGTACCAGAACTAAGCCTGGATTTGCGCCAATAGTCATATTTAAAAGATTATAGGCAACAAACAGGAGCACCCAACGTCAAGTTTTGGAAAATATCTGTTGGGAAGACGATTTAAGATCTAGAATTTTCGGAACATTTTTTTTTAAATTTCTTGCTTGCCTGCCTCTCCTAGGATTTCGAACATCTAAAAGATGGTATAATTGCCCATTTTTACCCTAACAAAGTCACCTGGAATTGTCCGGAGCCTTTTTTCTGGCTGAAATTTTCGAAAAGGTAAGTTTTGATTCCTATTATCAGTTTTCGGATCACTGGACTTTCAGCTAGGAAATCCGAACAGATGAAAAATTTTTAGGGGCTAAAAATATGCCTATACCTACCGAAAACTCTAAAATGCGTTCAACAATGCTACGATTATGTGGTTTTGAATTATATTCTCGTTGGGTGCCCCTGAACAAATTGTGGCCGAAAAGAACGGCTGCGAGCGAAAAATTTTCACCATGTTTAAATCAAGTGTGTCACGCACCCATGTTTATTGCTAATTGTATTCTCGCAAAGAAAGAATCGAGAAAGACTCGAGAAAGACAATCACACAAAACATAAAAAGCATGAAATTATTACTTATAAATGTTGCATTGGTTCTTAATCGATAGAAAGTTTTCCTGATTCTTTGACACAGCACAAAACAAGCTAGTTTAAAGCGCGCGCATTTTTGGAATATGCCATATAAGGCTAGTTACACCTTTATAACGTCAAATAATTTGTGAATTTAGAGAATTAATTCGACTGAGATTTTTTAACGACTAAGTTGTGTTTACTTCGGAGCTGCGATTTTTTTTATTTTTCGTGGAGATATTCGTTAAAGCGCGAACATGGCTGCCATCCGCAGGGAAGGTACTTAACTTCTTTTAGTTACTAATTTTCTAAAATTTAAAATTTTTTGCTAATAACATTAAAAGTCTTAAGTTCTTCAGCGACCGGGAAGCAGGGTTCAGAGTCGGGGGCTAATCCAAACCCATGGGGCCGGATGGGCATACTACGGGGTTTGCGGGCATATTCCCCAGGAAAATTAAACCTGAAGTTTGTGTCTCCTGCTTATCAAACTTTTGCATTTTTTGAAGACGATAGCGCTTTTGTTTCTCACATTCTTTTGTGTTTCGATTACCGGCGTTCGACCTCAGTTGCAATCGGGTGTGATCGGTAAATTTTCGGCGTGATATTGTTTTACTTAGTAATGGTCTAGTGGGATAAGCTTCAGTCACGGCTTTTTGACCAGGGAGATCGCGCATTTAATTAAGCTTAATCAATTCATGACGCCTGCGTAAAAGAACTTTAAATTTTGTTTGCGCAGAAATCTGTCTAGTATATGCACAGGCAGACTACCCGCTGTTGGTGGGGGCCGTTGTTGATTGAAATATGAGCAACGATAATTAGGTGCATAAATATAATATCAGAATGACTGCATTTGCGCAAAGAAACTCAATCGCGATTGGTAACCAAAAGTTTACTAGAATTGTATCCTTCCTCTTACTAATTTTTGTCCTCTAACTTATATAGCCCTTTAACCCTTGCTATTCATGTATTTTTCTTTTTAATGCTGTTTCGTTTCACTATAGCCGAGGTACAGATAAATTCGACTGGAAAAAACAAACCAAGCTAGGAGCCACCTATATGTGTGTCACTGAAAATCTCAGTTGCGCGCGCAAATTTGTCAACATTTGAAATTTAACTGTGACATACGCGCGCATCTGTACTTCTAACTGTATTCACCAAACTTTGTGAAATGCGGGTAAACTAGTTTAAGAAATCAGTTCCATTTATTAATTATTTGTAAAGCTCGGTGAAAAATTTGCCTCAACAATGAAAAGAAGGCGAGGGAGCGCGTGCGTATTTTTGGAATATGCCATATATGGCAATTCAAAGCCTTTATGACGTCGAATACTTCGTGAGTGTAGTAACTTGACTGAGTTTTTTGTACGACTGAGTTGTGTTTATTTTCGGAGTTGTAATTTGCGATTTTTGAGGATATAACTTACTCACAAAGCGGTACAATGGCTGGCATCAGGCAAGGTAGTTACATTGTTTTATCGGCCGTCCTCGAAATCATGATTCTGGTCGACAAACTCTTTGATAAGCCTTTTTTGAAAGTCTTGCTAGCAATCATGATCTTTTCCACAGTTTTTCAGGTTAAACCTGGACAGATACATCATGGATTTATTTGACCAGGTTCAATCTGAAAAACTGACTGGGAACCAACTCCTTTACCAAACGGTACGCTTTTTCTGACTAAAAAACAATATTTCTCTCAAGGAAAACCAAGAGTTTGCGCGAATTTGTTGGGCTAAGCATTTATCTATCCTTAGGGGAAGAGCGAAGATTCCTTTAAAAAAAATTATAAATAGCAGAGAGTAAATAGTAAGAGCTTTATATATGGTAACATTTTTGGTGGTTTTTGTTTTGTCTGTTAAAATTATTTTCACTCCCTGGATTTGGGGAAATTGCTTCCGTAACGTTATCAACCCATACCAATCACATTTTTTAACCAGTATGGGTTGAAATCGCCATGCTTTTTTATCTGGCTGTTTTTTTCGGTTATTTTTTATCAGTTACAATTTTACCCCAAAAATGATATTTTCCAATGACGCTTTAGATCTAATAGTATTGGATCACCAATGCAGGCTATTCCTAATTAATTAATATTTGTATAACGGCATATGTAAATTATTTTTTTAACAGCTATAAAGGTTAAACCCGGATATAAAAATCCACTGCTTTATTGGGAAAGGAACGCTAATCAGCCAGGTAACGTGTCCTGAGTTGTCTTTTGCATCTGTTTTTGACTATTTTTCCTTTCACTTGTTTTCTTTGCAAGCAAATATTTCCCATGGCAATAGTTATTCACCTTAAGGCGTTTTGGTTTTTCCTCAGTTGATCATATTGAACCTGGGGAATTTAATCGGCCTTACTGGAACCCTCAAGGAGACATCCAGAGTTACTACGGCGTTCAGGTAACTGGTTATTAGGGAGCTTAAGGTCTCGGTAAAGGAAAACGAGGTGCCCACAGTTAAAAAATTCTAGTCGCGCGAGTATTTTCGATACAAAGGCAAGTTATATATCAAATTAAAGCTAAAAGACTATTTTACCTTATAAAAGATTTTATTTTATCGAATTTCAAAAGGCGCTTAAGTTTTTTACTCTCGAACTCAGAGGTATCGAGTTTACTGCTGAAGCTCCAGCCTTTTCGCGTTGTTAAATATTCACTTCCTTTTTATTGAATCTGATTGACAGATAAAAGACCTAAAAAGGGTGTGATCGTTTTCCTTTACCGAGACAGCAGCGTTTTTGAGCAACGGACGTCAACCGGAAGTGGACTTTTTGCATCATCTGGCAGTGGTTCTGTTGAAACTCTCGGGTAAATCCTCTTTATAAGAGAAAAGAAATTAATTTAGAAATACAAATTTGTTAGCGTCAAGGAATATATATAGTGAGAAGGCCTCACTTCCGGTTGACGTGCGTCGCTCAAAAACGTCTTTGCTTAAGCTCCCTCAGTAAAGCGAAAACCTGGCCCGTAAACAATTAACCTAGCTTGTCCCCAGGGCTCTCTCCTCCCCCCTCCACCCCTCGCTCCGAAGGAAAGGGTAGCAAAGGACAGTGGGAACAAGCTTGGTTTGTAAAAAGTAAGTTGGATAGACTTTTATATTTTCGTTGCTCTGAGATGAGGAAAGCCATTTCTTGGATATTGGATCTTTTATTATTTTCTCAGCTAGTAGAACAAGTCAAAGGTCTCTTTTAGTATGCAAAATCAAAGGAAATCTTAAATTTGAGCAGGTAGGAAACTTATCGAAAAGGCAAAAGAGATTTCCCGCCCTGCAAAATTATCAAACTTTTTATTTTAAGAAGACATAAACTGAGATCATTATATGGCTGACTGTGGGGTATTGTAAAAGTTGTCTTCGTGAAACTTCATAAGTATGGAATATCTTTTTCCAGCCCGTTCCCGTTCAGTACCAACAGTTCCCGTATAATCCTGCAGTTCAGCAAGGTTGGGCTGGCGGAATTCAACTGCAGCCTGGTCATGCCACATTTATGTAAGTTTTTACTTTTTACGTACCTATCCATAAGCCTTTTATGCCAAAATGACTTCCACGTTATGCTGTTGTCAGGTAAACATTCATGGTAAATCTATGGTATTGGCTCAGACAGAAACAGATTGTTCACATAAATAATGCTATCATCAGTTTTCATGTTAGCTCCATATTAGTGCTATCATCAGTTTTCATGTTAGCTCCATATTATTGCTATCATCAGTTTTCATGTTAGCTCCATATTAGTGCTATCATCAGTTTTCATGTTAGCTCCATATTAGTGCTATCATCAGTTTTCGTGTTAGCTCCATATTAGTGCTATCATCAGTTTTCATGTTAGCTCCATATTAGTGCTATCATCAGTTTTCATGCCAGCTCCATATTAGTGCTATCATCAGTTTTCATGTTAGCTCCATATTATTTTGTCCCACAGTCAACCATACTGGACTACGACTGCAGCACAACAACAATATGCAGCTCAACAGCAATTTGCCGCAATGCACGCTCAGCAATATGCAACACAGCATCAGCAAGTTGCGACACAGCATCAGCAAGTTGCGACACATCAGCAGCAAGTTGCGACACAATATCAGTGTGCGAATCAACATCAGCAAGTTGCTGCACAATATCAGTGTGAGGAACAATATCAACAGGTTGCGACCCAACAGCAGCAAGCTATCATTGCGACAAAACAGCAGAAAGATGCGACACAGCCGAAGAAAGTTGCGACAAAACATCAACAAGGTGCGAAACAACAGGGAGATGAGGAAAAGCAACGAGAAGAAAAGAGCGGCACGACCAAGACTATTCAAGAACGTCTTGAGTAGGTTTTAGTTTGTAGCTGACAGATCATGCTAGCGAATTTATCTCAAGTGTAAATAGAATTTTGTGGCAAAGATCACCTCCACTTTTTTATGAAACAAATATCTCAATTCTTTGAATCATTTGTGCAAAACTTGATAAGCATACATTTGACTTTAGGCTCCATTTCTGGCCATTTAAGAGGGTTTGATTTGATACTCAATCTAAGTAATTTTCACCCTTTGCCATTCCGCTTGCGTGCGATGAAACCAAACGCGTGCGCGCAAACGGTAGCGATCTCGTCACCAGAACCTTTGGATCTTACGGCTGCCGGCCTGTGGGGGTGAGAATGAGACGGTAGATAACCAAGCCTAATGTATTTGATCTGCTTTTTACTCAGAGAAATGAAAGAAACTCTGGATAAAGAAAGAGAGGAATTCTCCCTGAAATTGAAACGGCAAACAAGAAGAGTCACTGATCTTGAAATCAAAGACAAGCATCAACAAAAAGAGGTAAGATAGGAGTCAAGTTCAGTAGCGATAAATAGAGAACCAACCATAGTCTTGTGAAAGGGCACCCTGAGAGAAGTAGATGATATTGCTTTATGTCAATTCTTGATAAATGCATTTTTAACATTACTCATATGCTCCTGTGGAGTCACGAAGAAGATATCAAACAAACAAACAAACAAAAAATTCTCTTCTTGCAGGTTGAACTGTTTTTTTCTTTTAATAACGAATATTATACAGACTTAAAAAAAGAAGCTAACATTAATGGAGAATCAGTTTCTCCTAGGAAAACCTAGATTAAGCAACAGGCAGAAAGCAGTGCTCGGAAATACTTGTTTTCCATTTTCTTAATGTAAGTTATTTCTTATACATTTCACGCAGATCAAGGAACAGACAAAAGCAAGAGAGCTTGCCGAGGACACGTAAGACTTTTTTCAATGTCGTACTGTTATTTCGATTCAGTAGTGGAAACAATTTTATGTGAGAACATGTCCGAGAATCGTCCATGCTGACATCAGGGATATTTTTCTTTCTGTTGTTACAATTAAAATTGAAGGTGGAAGAAAATCGAGGAAGAGAAAAATGCTTTGGATGCCATGAGGCTTTCATTGGAGAAGGAAGGCGGCAAGATAAACCGAGTTCTCTTGGTATGATCTACTTTCTTCTCATTCCTTAAAACGTTTTAAAACAAATTTGTAGTCTCCCTCGCAGCCATTTTTAGTGTAGTCACGCAACACTTCTCCCCACAAACGAATACATGTACCAGTTATGAGGCATCGATTGATTATAAGAAAGTTTCAAGGTAATTTATAGTTCATTAATTTCTTAGAAAACGGAACGCGACCTTTCTAAAGCACAGGAGAGGATCCTTAAATTGGAAGCTGATGATGACGCTCTAAGGAGCTACCTCAAGAAACTCAAAGATGAATTATCTCAGGAATTTGTCGCACTTCGCGCCACTTATAATGAGGTGAGTAGAAGTTATATAAACTAAATTAACTAACTAAAGGAACCCACCAGCCCCCCCCAAAAAGAGACCTTACCGGTACTTACTATACTACTAGGATGTGCATTTATAAAAAAAACGAGGAAAGGTTTAACTTAAGCCCCGAGCACGTGACTAGAAAATCTGCCTAAAAGGGGCCAAGAATTATAAAGGACACCTCTTGTATTCGTTCGCTTATATGTTGATTTTGTGTCTTTTTTTTCCTTTTTTCGATGCAAAGTTGCAAGAACGACTGCGAGTTGAAGAACTGTAAGTGTTTTATGTTTTAGTTTGCTTTGAGAAATTGTAACTTTTCAACCAAATTTTCAGGAGTACTTCCCTATTCAGTGAGAACCTGCAATGAAGGCTTTTCTGACGGATACGAGGTAGAAATTGGCCAGAAATGTATAAGAGTCAAAGTTAACTTTAGAATAAAAGTATTTAAAGGAAAAAAGGAAAACTTTAACAAAATTGACACCAGGAAAAACTAAAAACTGACTTCCTATCTGAGGAAATTACTCATGTCCCATGCAGTTTATTGGCTTTTAGACATATTCATTTTTAGATAGATACCTAAAAGATTTAATTCCTCCTTCATAACGTTACCTTAGCTTTCACAAATGGCACAACAATAATTGATTATTTCGTTACTAAGAGAAATTGTTTCATTTTAGCGCAGCTTCAAAGACCATACATGGACTCGAAGATGAGGTATCTTGTCTCTCGTTTCAACACTTTGAATATTTCTTCTTTTTAAAAGCAATTGAAATGTTTTATAGAAAAAGCCTCAATCAACAGATACACCTTTTCTTCTTTGAAATGGTTTCCGTCGTCGCTTTTCTACAGAAGTTACGTTTGTAGTATACTTGTCAACAAATTACTGTAGAGTACTCCACAATGAAAAGAACAGTTTTCAACGGACAGCATACATTAGCATACATTAACATATTATAGCAAAACAGAAGAAGTTTGGAACCGCAGCAGGATTAGCTCAGTTGGTAGGGTTCTTGACCGTAAAGCGGGATGCCGCGGATGCGATTCCCCGGCCCAGACCAATACTCAGCGTCTCAAAATAACTGAGAAATTAAGCTACTGTCTCTCTTAGCACTGCAAGCGGCTGGACCCTCGCATGGTTCGGATAACCATGGCGGTGGCGTCTCCAGTAGAAGACCTAAAAATAATTTCCCCAATTAGTACTTTCGTGCTAAATACATTGACATTCAAAAAAGCGCATTTCTATTTTTATTCTTTTCGTCTTTAGTATGAAATGCTCACGAAAGTTTTTTAAACTTGCAGGTCGCCTATTACAAATCGTCTCACCAGAAAACCACCGAAGAGTAAGTAAAACGTAATAAACACTTTGAAGGCCGGGATTCCATACAGGCACATGTCAGACAATCGTGTAAGGAATACGTTAAATTCCCACTATAACCCCCTCCCCACTTATGAGCCCTCCCAGTCATAAGCCCATCACCTGGAAACAAAAATATAATTTCGATTATGGCCCCCCGACACACAAACACACAGATATAGGTCCCCCTCTGGCCACACGCACACACACAAACACATATTGGTCCACCTCCGGATCGGTTGGAAATGAATTTGATTCATAATGACTTTTTAAAGCTTAAGCTTAGACGGTATGATACGGTAACTAAAAGTGGGACCAGCTGCTCAAATGACTATATAACAAAGAAGGAAAGGGTTTTTAATAGGATGCGAGGCGGCAGAGCGAGCGCGAGCGAAAAGTTGGACCGTAGGTCTAAATATGCCAGACTTGAGAATGTAAATAACTGATCTCCTTGGGCGGTGCGATCCGTAAAATAGTCTTTTTGCCTTAATGTGACAGTTTTATTTTGTACTTTTAAGAAAAAAAAAAGCGTCGCGAGCGGATCTAGAGCTGACCAAAAGCATCGAAGCTCAGTCTGGGAACGAAAATGCAACAATTTATAATCTTAACAATAATGATATGATAATAGTAAATCTAGCAGGCTTTGCGTGGTATAATTCGAAGTTCACTCTGTACAGGTCATCACAATTTTATTGTCGTTTAACGATCGCGCACTTATTATATTTATGGTAACATTTTGTGACCATTCTTTCGTAACGGTTTTCATCCAGAATGAAGGAGACCCTCCGTTATATACGGCCGAAAAAAACGTGTTCCAAAGCCTTGTTAGCATTTGTATAGCATACGTCGTGCAAGTTTTGTCTTTCTAAAGTTAATAGTATTTTAAATGATAATATGTTTTTTTTGTTATTCAGTTTAGACATTGCTAATCAAGAGCAACGTTCCTTGGCCCAGCGGTGTGAGTTGTGGAAGAAAAGCTCTCAGGAAAAAGAATTGGTTTGTGAACTTGCAGAGAAAGACAAAGCCGTTCTTTCTAAGAAGATTCAGGTGAGATTGATTTCTTTTTTGAAAGTGAAAGAGTATAGCCTTTATTCATGACTGTAAGTACATCCCTCTTAACATGGCTATGAAAAACTGGAAGCTAGTCAGATTAGTTTGCTCAACTCAGTCGGTAGGCCTCGCTTCTAAAAAGGCCTTTAAAAATTTGTAAGAGTTGACCACACATGGTTATTATTTGAAATCTTATCTACATTTAACGAAGTTGTGGCAATGTTTTTCTTTGAATTGTCAGAGATGAAGGATAAAAAGTACCCGAACAAAGTATGAATAGACTTAATTTACGGTCACAGTATTTCGTCAGAAGAACATAGGTAAAAAAAGGATGCTCTTTTATGACTGTAGATAAGTAATTGACCAATCAGAGCGCGTGCTTTACCTTATATTATAATTGATTGATACTTATTTCTAATTTTTCACACTTAAGTTTTTTTCCCTTCCTTTTTATTGATGGCATTATGAATGTTAGTATGTTATTTGTATTATTTTGTGGTTGTAAACAAAATAGAATCGAAATTTGTGTGGATGCTTGTGTTTTGTAGTTTTTTTTTGAAAGTTATTTTTAAAGCTTTTTTTGTATTCCCTATTTAAGTGTGAAAAATTAATAAAATTAAAATTAAATTAATTGAAACTTACTTGTTCTTCGCATAGAGAGAAACAGCGATGTACAAATGGAGAATGATCACTTCATGAAACAGAGAAAAAATAAAAAAGTTTACATTTGACACAAACGTCGATCGTAATCCAAACTTAATTCCTTCTCTTCTGTTTTATTCTTTAGTCTGAGATGGCAGCAAAGATTGAATTGCAAGAGTAAGTAACTCGCTTTGTCATCCTTGGCCGCGACCAAATACAGTTTACAGCAACTTTAGAAATCTTTTACGACGCGAAGTGGGTTGATTTAGACCCTTGATTATAGTCTGAACTAAGAGTGCACGTTTTAAAAGAAAGTTATTGTTCTCTAGTTTCTGGGACATCAATGCTACAAATCGGCCACTTCTGGCTTTTTCTTAAATTTTTGCGCAGTTAGATAACCGTTTCACGACGAAACTTTCAAAAGTGGACGATCGACTTACTAATGTTATTAAGACGAGAAATAAAAATGACAATTTTAGTATTTCTAGCACTCCAAAAGCTGAACCTTACCAGCGACGGCCTATCGGGGTCGTAATTACAAGGGCAGAGGTTTATGATCTTTAGTGAACCCAGCGTTTTGATTCAATTTACAACGTTGTCGATCATCGCAATATACTTAGAGTCAGTTTATCGAAGTGGTAAGCAAAGGAGGAAGAACTAAATCGTTCACAATGTATGGTAACAAAATTGATGGTAACCAACAAAATTATTTGTCATGTATTAACTGATTTATTCTTCCGCTAGCTGACAAATGCGCACAAAAACGGGGGGTAAAAGTGTTGATATTTACAAAAAAATAGGCTAATCTTCGTGAACATAACAGTCCTAAATTTCGAAATAGTTACATGCATTTTATTCGTACATAAAATTAAAGGCCTTCGCTACCCAGATCCCACAGGTCAATAAGTTTGACCGTTAGGTATCTGGGTGCGAGATGTTTCAAGACGAGTCCAAGTGTAAGGGTAACATGTAGGTAGGCATATTATTTATTTATTTTTTACTTTTTAACGTCTGTCGTTTTCAGAAATAATGAAACTCTCAAGGAGGAATTAGCTGCATTTAAGAAGCAAAACGTTCTGCTTATGCAAGAAGTTGAACTTCTCAAAGAACAGGTGAGTAAATACAAATTCGAAATTTGTACGTCTTAAATGTTTTTTTCGAAAGATTTTCTTCTGGAGAATTTCTCCAGTTCAACATTATCTTATGATGTACGGGTTGGGTTGAGAAAAAAAATTAAACAAACAATGTTTCAGACCGTACCGCGTTTTGAAAATTGTAGCAGTTGTAACATGGGTAAAGACATGGTACAAAACGTTTAGAATTATTGATTTAATTTGTTCTTTCCTTTTCAGAATTACAATCTGCGATATTATGGAGGAGTAATTGGAAAATTCCGAAGAATGAAACGCTTCATTGTAAATGCGTTTCGACGATTTTCATCTTAAACTAACTAGCTTTATTTAGGATAGGGTCTGTTTTGGGAGAGGAGGGGGGGGGGGGGTGTTTACACGGAAAAAAAATATTTCTTATGCCTGAAATCTTAGTTAAATCTACTGAGGAAAATGGCGATGACTGATCTGATCTGTTTTAAAATACTCGTATTTAGAAACAACTGGATTAGATTCTGTACAAAGATTCTCATCGTAAATTCTAAAGCTATATTATGTATGGGGCGGGGAGGGGTGTATGTTTGTGTGTGTGTGTGTGGGGGGGGGGGGGGTGGGTCTGGTTGCAAGAGGGAAACGATATTGCTGTGACTGAAAACGTACTATAGATAAATTTGCTGAGAAGGATGACAATGATTGATCTGTATAAAAAAAACTCCTATTTACCCATAACTGGATTAGATCCTGTGTAACGATTGTCATCAATAACTTACAAGCTATGTTTGGGACAGGGTGGGAGAGAGCAATTAGGGAAAAGTTACTCTTGTGACGGAAAACTTTTCTTAGATACATCTGCGGGAATGAATGACAATAATTGATCTGTCTTATCTTTGTCAATAACGTCTGTAGATAAGTTGTCAAAAGGGTCACGGTATTCTCGATAATTGCACATGCACATATTCTTAATCTTCAAATCCGTAAAAAAAACTCCGAATGTGTTTACCTTAATGTCACCCTGTCTTGGCAGCGAGAGAGCTGGGTTTGAGATTAACAAACTTGCTTGAAAGTTAACTAAGGAGCTGAGTTGAAGGAAATAATAACGTCAGGGGCGTAGCTGTACTTTCAAAATTGAGATTGAGTCAAAAAATTTGTATTCTCTCATTTTGCTTGTCTACGGCCAGTAAACAATCAGTAAGAAAACAAAAACAACAACAACAACAGCAAAACAACAACAGAAAAGAAACCAACAGAAAAAAACAACAACAAAAAACACAAAACAAAACAAACAAATAAAAATAGAAATAAATATCATTAAAACAAGAAACAAACAAACAAAAACCAGAAAACAAAAAATAAAAAAGAAAAAAGAAACAAACGAACAACAAAAACAAAACAAAAATAAAAAAAAAACCCTAATAATTGAAAAACAAAAAGTTTAACTAGCTGTAGCTTTGAGTCATTGTATAGCCCAATAACAATTCGGGTGATATTATCAAGTAATAGTTTGTGCCGTGTTTACACGCTTCCTAGTGATTACTTAGTTCTATTACACAATACAAAATGCTTGTCTCAATCACCGTTCTGAAAGTCCAGCTACGGCCCCTGACATTATTTAATCTAACTCCTTACGATCGTACATAACGCTTTTGTTTTTGATAACTCTTTTTTAGTTTTACTGTATTCCGTTGAAATAGTCAAAACTTTAGATTGACCTGTTCCTCACATACTAAAGGCGCAAATGCAAATAGATTTTTAACGAAAAAAGCTACAACGAGCAATAAAAATATAAAAGTAAACAACAACAACAACAACAACAAAACAAAACAAAACAAAAGAAAAAAGAAGAAAACGACACAAAAAAATAAAATGAGTACTAAAAACCCCCCCAAAAATAAATAAATAAAAACAAAAGAAAAGCAGAAGAAAAAAATTAAAAAAACAAAAATAAATCGTTGTAGAACAAAATCAAATATAACAACCTTGTTTTTGCTGCCTTAGGCGTTAATATCCACACATATCCATAAATTTTCAAAGCGGAGATTTTTCTTCTTTTCTAAAAAAAAGTACGAGTCCACACTTAGCGTATTGGCATCGTTTTAACCAGTGCACAGAGAAAGGCTAAAACGAAAAAAATACGATGGAAAATCTTACAGAGCATGCCCTGTACTATGACTGTATGAGGTCATCGACAAAAACGATAAGCCTGCGTTTTCAAAAATCTTCACCTGACTAGAGAACGGTTTAGAAAAAATATATTTTTTCCGATGACCGTTTTCACCAAATACGTGCATGTAGACTTCAGGCAAAACCGGAGAAAAAATTATCTGTTTTCAAAGAAAATAGGATATGTGTGGACAGGGCTAATACTAGTTCGGACGATATTATCACGTTGTAAAAATTTGCTCATAGTATCGTAGTATCGTAAGGATTTGTGTCATATTAAAAAGATGTTATGAAGTTTGAATTGGTGTCGTGTGTTTCCAGTTTTACCTTTGTTAAAGACAAGATTGAAAGTTGTCGCCAGTGCTCAATTGTTAAAAAGAATGAGCAACACTGTATATTATAACGATTTTATCAACAAACGTTTATACTAACGTTACTTGAACAGCGCTGCTGAACAAGTAATGCGGCTGTGGTGAATAATTGGATGAAGTTAGAGTTAAACTCTAACTGACATTTTTTTAAGCACTAAAACAAAACTAAAATGGCTATAAGTGGAAGGAGGTTAGTGATGTCATACCAGGCACTTAATTGGAAAAAGGTCAAAAAGCTCTCTCCTGCAAATCAGTGCGTGATAATATAATGTCTTCCAATGTCTTCCAATGGGGTACCTCGGAGAACAATGCAAACTACACCCCTCTCTTTGAGCTGTTGTCTTCTACAGATTAACTCGCTCGAAATAGCGGCACAACATTGCTCGGAGGGGGTGAGAGGGTAAGAGCTTCATTTTCCTTTTGAAAGTCAGTAAGAAACGACAGAAAGAAAATTCCATTAAAGCAAAGTGTCTCAACTAATTTTGTCCTCGATTGAACCTCAAAAAAATGTCATAATTATCTGATATTAAACAACTCTGTTCGTGATCACCAACATGGCCGCTGTGACGTCACGTGCAAATCAACAATGCAAGTCATTTGAATATGAGCAATGCAATTTTCCTAATTTTTTTTTTCAGTGGCCAAAACTTAACAACTCCCAACATTTTTGGGATTCGCTGCGTCCGTTTGCACGTGGCTAAAAGTTTGACCACTTTCAAAG